GCGTGTGGGTCAGCCGAAATGTTGGCGGCTGAGCTACCCTCGCTCCCTCCTCCAGGAGCAGCGTGCCCTGGGTTTCCAGACCATGTGCAACAGCGTGCTGCCAGCCGGCCACAGCTGGACTGGACTGGCCATGGAGCTACGAGCCACCGGCACAGCCTCGGTGATGGACCCTTGGGCGTTGCGTAATGGGGGGGTCATAAATGGGGGGGTGGCGAGGGTGGTCCGAAAAGGTACCCAAACGGTACCTAAACGAGCCCCCTGGGGCTCCGGAGGGGCCCGAAAGGGGCACGAAAGGGGACCTTTTCTGACCCCCCCGTTTGTGACCCCCCCATTAGGCAACGCCCAAGGACCCCGCGCTGGCCCCAGTCCTGTACTGCGTCCACAGCCTCCAACCCCACCTATGCGGCCCGGGAGGCACCCCCCGTGAACCCGCCCGGGCGCTGCCGACAGCTGGCCATACACGACGGCTATCTTTTCGATTTAGAGCTGGGCCTCGACCCGACGAGCTACGTATATGCAGCCACCTGGGCGCGACTCTCACAGCTCGCAGGCCTGCAGCCTCGCAGCAGCCAGGAGAGAAGCACCTCCCCGAAGACGGGCGAAAGCCCCCATGCCCGAGCGGCGCCACGCGCGCAGCCGCTGGAGCCAGAGTCTGGCCGCGTGCCCCCGGAAGCCCCGAGGCAGCCACCGGCAGCCTGGAGCGATGCCACCTGCGAGCCCAAAGATCCAACGTATTGAAAAAATCAAGACGGAGGTTTTTCGCACAGGTCGGCCTCTAGGGGCCCTCGCCGGGCCTCGGGACCGTCAAAAAACGACTCAAGATGAAGATCCGGTCCTGGGGAATGGGTCGAGATTTCCGGCGCCCCCGTATTCAAAAAATCACGGCATCGGATCTCTGGGAGTGCAGCCGTCACCGGGGCCAGCCCATCTTTGAACGCCTACGCGCGCTGACGCAAGTGCCCCGTTTGGGGGGCAAGCGCATGAGGATCTCGAAGCGTGCCCCAAGTGTCAGTTTCTGGACTGCAGCGCCACGGGACGACGTGACTGTTGCGCCTTGACGACCCTGAGTCGTGCCAGAATACCATTCCTGGGATTTCGATTTTGCGACTCAACGTCACTGTTGCCGAAATCTTTCAATCGGTCCACAGCGCCGCTTTGGTACGTTAACTATGAGAACCAGTGAAGCTCTTGCAACGATTTAAAACGAATGTGCGCGGCGTTAGCGCGAGAGTCACATGTTGAAAAGGAACCGTGCGCGGCGCGCATGCGAGAGCCATAATTTAAAACCGACCCGCCTTCAATCCGTGATGCTCTTCAGATATTCAAATGTGCGCGGCGTTCAAGCGAGAACCACATTTTGAAAGACGACCCGCCCTCGATACGTGAAACTTGTGCACATGTTTGACATGAGTGTGCGCTGCGCTGAGGCGGAAACCATATTTTGGAAGCGGCCCCCTCCATACGTGAAGCTGATGTCAGTGTTTCAAGCTTGACGCTCGTAAACAATAAGAAGGTCTCAGGCGAAACGCCCGGTCCATCCTTCCGATTGGCGTCGGGGTACGACAGGGAGGAGTTACTGATAAGGCAAAGGAATGGAGGATGAGGAGAAGAAGAGGGGGGAGGAGGAGGGGGAGGAGGAGGAGGAGGAGGAGGAGGAGGAGGAGGACCAGTGCGAAACCCAAGACTCGTCAACGATGATGAAATACACCCTCCCTCCAAGCTCCCTCCTCGCAGGCCCTTAGAAGGTTCATTTCCACTGAGGGAAGTACCCGCTGGGGGACAACCTTGCGAAAATCCCGAAGCGTGCCCAAATATCAGTTTCTGGATTTCAACGCCACGAGTCAACCTGACTGCTGCGCCTTGGAGAGAATGAACCGTGCCAGAACACCTTTCCTGGGACTTCAATATTGCGGCTCAACGTGACTGTTGCGCCTTGACAATCCTGAATCGCTCGAAAACATTCTGTCTGGTACATTAGCCATGAGAATCATCAAGCTCGTGCAAAGTTGTAAAACGAATGTGCGTGGCGCTAAAGCGAGAGCTACATTTTAGATATAAGCCGCCCTCAGTATATGAAGTTTTTGTTTGCGAGTGTTCGAAACGAATGTGCGCAATGCGAAGGCTACAGCCACGTGTTGAAAACGACCTGCCCTTAATATGTGAAGCTCTGGCAGATGTTTGAAACGAATGTGCGCGGCGCCAATACGAGAGCCACAGTTTGAAAACGAACTGCCCTCAATCCGTGAAGCTCGTGAAAATCTTCCAATGCGCGCGGTGCTAAGGCGAGGGCCATATGTTGAAAACGACCCGCCCTCAATCCGCGAAGTCGTTGCCAAGTTTTAAGCTGAAAGCGCATACATGGTATGGGCGTCTCCGGCGAAACGCCCAGCCCGCCCTTCCGACTAGCCCTGGGGTGCGACAGGAAGGAGTTGGTCGCAAGTGAAAAGAGCGGAGGAGGAGGAGGAGGAGGAGGAGGCTAGGAGAAGGAGGAGGACGAGGATGAGGACGAGGAGTAGGACTAGGAGAAGGATGAGGGACGGGGGGGGGAAAGGAAGGATACGAAGGGGGGAGGAGGAGGAGGAGGAAGGGGAGGAGGGAGAGGAGGAGGGAGGAGAAGGACGAGAAGGAGAGAGGAGGAGGAAGAGGAGGAGGAGGAGGAGGAGGAGGAGGAGGAGGAGGAGGAGGAGGGGGGGGAAGGGGGGGGGGAGGGGGGGAGAAAAGAAAAGGAAGGAGAGGATGAGGAGGGGGGGGGGAGGGAAAGAACACACGCAGGAGGCCCTATGGCACTCGACCGCCGCCGTTCGCGGCGGGCCTCGCAGAGACGCTGAGCGCTTTCCCGCTCCCGCAGGAGCGCCGCCTCCCAGCGCCCCTTTAGGCCGAGGGGTCCAGCACTGGTGCGGAGTTCTCCTCCTCCTCCTCCTGCTTCTCCTCCTCCTCCTGCTTCTCCTCCTGCTTCTCCTCCTGCTTCTCCTTCTCCTCCTCCTCCTCCTCCTCCTCCTCCTCCTCCTCCTCCTCCTCCTCCTCCTCCTATCCGAAGTCAAAGTGGTGCCAACAGTCAGGCGCTTCAGCCTTTTAAATCGATCGTTCAGGGGCTTCGGAATGGGACTCGCTTAACTTGGCGTCTTACCTTTTTGTTTTAATCCTGGCACGTATTTCCGAGGCCCCGTTTTCGGTCACCCAGGGAATCTGGATTGGCGGCTTGATGTTGTAGACATTGGGGTCGCGCCAGGTTGTGGTGGAATCTACAGTTGAATGCATCGATCTAGTGGCTAGCTCGATGGACGAAGATAGCCTTCAGCTGGCAGACGACATCGTTGTGATCAGTCCTGTACATGCCGCAGCAAAGGAGATTGCCTTTCGTTGAAAGCGCCGAGGAAATGAGCTCAAAGCAGTTCTGCAGGCTCCGTACCCGGATGTCGGCGCAGGCGGGGGAGGCAGACGGGCGCGGAGGACGGGGAGGCAGCGAGCGGCGAAGGGCCTGGTCGGGCATCGCAAGCTTAAGTCTCATGCTCGAGCTGGCAGGAGAAACACCGCGCTACCGAGAAAATCGAACTAGCCGGCCCACAAGCTTGCTCTCATTTCGGTTTGGAGAGTTATGGGGTTCATGGGCCACCAGCTACGACGTTTTAGGCAGCGATTGTGGGCTGTTCCTGGTTTAGGTGAACAAGGCAGATGCCTCACGGCTCTTTTGGACCTTCGTGCTCCTCGTCGGGATCCTGGGATTTGCGTTGCCCACGTCATGTCTGAAGACTTGGCTCGACTGCTGGACTCGGTTTCTGCACTCTCGTGTCTCATGCGGGCATCCCTCGTGTGTGGGGCGCCAGTAGGAGTGATCTGGAGGCCATGGCACCCACCAGACGTTCCAGACAGTTCGGGGCCCAGCGAGGGTGTGGAGCGGGATCGGGTCCGGCCCCTCGGCAGGGGAGGGGGGGAATCCCGTTCTCCGGCGGCCTCCTGCTGCTGCTCTCGTTGCTATGCGTCGAGGCGGCCGCGGGCCGCGGGAGGCCGCTCGCAGGGAGGAAGGGGGGCGTGACGGGCTCCCCCCCCCCCACGGGGGAGCGGGGCGGAGCGGCCGATGTGGCCGCGGAGCGTGCCCGTCTCGCTACTCCTCCCGCTCCTCAGCTCCTCGTTCCTGTCCTCGTCCGCCTCCCCCTCCTCCTCCTCCTCCTCCTCCTCCTCCTCCTCCTCCTCCTCCTCCTCCTCCTCCTCCTCCTCCTCCTCCTCCTCCTCCTCCTCCTCCTCCTCCTCCTCCTCCTCCTCCTCCCTCCTCCTCCTCCTCCTCCTCCTCCTCCCCCACCTCCTGATCTTCTTCCTCCTCCTCCTTCTCTTCCTCCTCCTCCTCCTCGTTGCCCATTCTCCTCAACTTGCTCATCATCTTGTCGCTCTGTGCCTTCACATCTTCATTCCGCTGTTGCTGCTGCTGCTGTTGCTCCTGCTGCTGCTCTTCATTCCTCTTCTTGCTCCTTTCTCCTCCCTCTTTCCATCCTGATGAGGTGCGAATCTCGCTTTCGCATCACGCGCATTCGGTTTTCAAGCTTGCAGCAGCTACACGGGTGGAGAGCCGCTCCGTTTCAAGACAGGTTCTCGCTTGAGAGTTCCTCGGGCTAGCTCACTGTATCGGGCAGCGCAGAAAGAGCATGGGCAACAATTCTACGGAGGGCTGGCGGCTCCTGCTCAAGCTGGAGCTGCTGCCGTCTGAGAGTTCTTCAGGCTTGCACGCACGATTGCTGCAGTGCGCGCCACGACTGCATGGCGGCTCCTCCGAACCGCGGGGCTCCCGTGTGTGCCTTCTCTCCTGGCCCCGCCGCACGGCGCTCAACGACGGCGACCGCCGCACGGACGGAGGCGCACGACCCTCTCTCGCGCAGCTATGGCCCGCACGGCGGCAGGCCGCTCTTCTAGGGGGCCACATGCGAACCCTACCCCTACCCCCCACGAGTTCTGAGGGGGAGGGCGGGGTTCACTTCGCTCGAGAGCTCCCGAACGAAGTGACCCCCCCCCCCTCCCCCTCAGAACTCGTGGGGGGTAGGGGTAGGGTTCGCATGTGGCCCCCTTATCTTCCTCCCAGTGGGGCTTTCGCTCGACGCTGTCCCGAGCTCGGCGATCGCACAACGACGCGCATCGCTGCCCGGATGGCCGAGGGCAGCTCCTCTTCGGCACGGGGGGCCCCCGCCTCACTGGCCCGTCCGCGTGGCGCGCTCGTCCCTCCAGGGAGCGCCGCTCGCAGCGAAAGGGCCACCCGTGGCTGAAATGTCTGGAGGCGGCCTGGGATGGGAAGGTGTGCTGCAGCGTCGTGGAAGCATTCTGGGTCTGCTCTGGCCCCCCCCCCCCTGACCCGGTCTCCCCCTGGCGCTGCCCCTCACTTCTGCGCCTCCTGCCCGCCCCCCCTCCCCTGGTCCGCGGCCCCAGAGGCCCCGACCGCTCTTCCCTGGGGGCTGCGTCCGGGATGCCCGTTTTTGGCACAGCCGGCCCGGACTGGCAGGTCGACCCTGCCAGCTCAAGGGGTACCCTCGTCCTGTGCCTCGCGACGCGTGCCTCCTATGGCGATGTGGCCCTCGGAAGGGTCTCGTGTCCTCTCGCGTGTCCTGTCCAATCAAGGCCGCTTGGCATCGCTCGGACGTGTGCATTGTTCCTTCGGCGAGGACCATCGAGGAACATCCTCGATCATCTGGCGAAAAAACCACGCACAGAACCGACAGTAGCCCCCTCTGGGCCCGGGAGCGGCCCCCGAGGACCGGAGTCAAGAGGCGGCGCTGGGGCCCGGAAGAGAGTCTTCACCGTCGGGGAGCCGGGCCCCGCCCACCTCTCCCGGCGCCCCTTCGGAGCGTCCTGCGCCCCCCCCCCCCCTCCTCCTGGGCAAGGGGGCCACTTGCGAGCCCTGCCCCATGCCCCCCCCGCGATTTCTGAGGGGGGGGGGGGTCACTTCGCTCGGGAGCTCCTGCACTCAGTGCACCCCGCCCTCCCCCCCAGAAATCGTGGGGGCGGGGGCTCGGGCTCGCGAGTGCCCCCCCTCCTCGGAGCCGCGCGGCGCCGGCAGGAGAGCGACCGCCGCGGCTGCGCGCACCCAGCCCTCGGGAGTCCCGAGCTGGTGCCCCAGCACATCCCGCTGCGGCAGTTGGTCAAGGACCCGAGGGCGTCCGCAGCCACGGCCTCGCCCCCCCCCCCCGGGCAACCGACGCCTTGAGAGAGAAGCACGCTGAGGTCGTCCGCTGTTGTGCGGCCTCCGGGGGAGCCCTTGCTGGGCCCCATGGGGCTGTCAAAAGATAGCCCAGGACGAAGGAGCGGCCCCGGAGGGACAGGTCCGGGACATCCGGGGGCCCCGTTCCTGAAAGAGCCAAGACGTCGGATGCCCGGGCTCCCCTCTGCGACCAATTTCGAGCTCTACCTCTGCGGGGTCCAGGCGACGCTGGGGCGTCGGACACCCTCGCTGAGGACGAGGATGAGGAGGAGGAGGAGGAGGAGGAGGAGGAGGAGAAGGAGGACGAGGAGGAGGAGGAGGAGGAGGAGGAGGAGGAGGAGGAGGAGGAGGAAGAGGAGGACGACGACGAGGACGAGGAGGAGGAGGACTTTTAGCTGCAGGCATCCTACGAGTTCTGAGCCCCAGCTGCCGTTTCAGAAGTCTGATCTGCAGTGGTGGGGCTCACGTTTGGTCCATTGCCTGTCCCTCCTCCCCGCCACTCCTCCCCACGGCCCTCCCCTGAAGGCATGGGGGGAGGAATGGCGGCAGACCCCAGACCGCCGACGTCATGATCCTCTCATCACGGGGACTCGACAGGTCAGGACCCCTTCCCGGGGACCAGTCTTTCATCCGGAGCCCTTTTTGGGCGGCCCCGAGGCCCGGTGAGGGCCCCCCAAGGCGGAACGCAGCGACACACTGCCCGCCGTGCTATGACTTCGCGACGCGAGGGGGTCTGGGAAAGGAGGAGGCCGTGGCTGTGGTCGATCTTGGTGCCTCCCAGCGGGTGCACCCGTTCGAGCCCGGGCCGGGCGCCCTGGACGCCAACGCTCTCTCGGCGGCGCCACGTCCGCGGATTCCGCAGGCGCTCCCGGGGCGAAGATGGTAAAGGAGGGAGGGAGGGGCGAGGAGGGGGGGGGAGGAGGGGGGGGGAGGGATGGTAAGGAGGGAGGGAGGATGGTAAGGAGGGAGGGGGGGGAGGAGGGAGGGAGGATAGTAAGGAGGAATGGGGGGGGGGGGGGGGGAGGATGGTAAGGAGGGAGGGAGGGGCGAGGAGGGGGCCCAGACCCCCGTCTGGTCACGAGAAGAATGACGACATGGGGTTGCTGATATTCAGCCTCGGGGGGCCCTCGCCGACCGGGGCCCAGGGACCGTCAAAAAGCAACCGAGGATGAAAAGCGGGTCTTGGGAAGTGGGCCGAGACCTCTGGGGGTCCACGTCGTGAAATAAGCATGACGTCGGGGATCTGGGAGCAGGAATGGGGGGAGGGAGGGAGAAGAGGGGGATGGGGGTGAAGCCAGGGGAGGGGAGGGAGGGGGGACGTTCCAGGCGCATGGGCAATTGCTACAATGAGCGGTGCTGCAATACCGTAACTCAGGGGCTTCAGCATAACTCATAGTTCACGACGAAATGCATGAGACGAGAAGTTTCAACATAACTCCTATACCGGGCCAGCCGCCCAGACAGTTGTGGAGGAAACACTCAGTCCATGAAAGAACCACTGATCACTGCATAATCGACCCCCGCGTCCTTGAGAGTCTGGCTCAGCGTGTGCAGCCGTTCAAGGTTGCGAGAAAGGAAGTGCTGGCGCTGGAGAGAAGGGGGCCGTATTTTTTCAGCTCGAGGAGGCTGAACCAACAGGTGACGTTCATGGTGGCGATCCGAAGCGCGCTGCAATCGCCTCGCTTCATCCTCCGCTCGTGCCTCTTGAACGCGCCATGTTGCATCCCCCCCTGAGCCGGTACATGCAGAGCAGCCCCAGGACTGCTCGCCCCTGGCACGCACTCGCACGGCTGGCGTCGGGCCGCCCGCCGCGAGCCGGCCCGACGAAGCAGTCGCATCGTGACTGCTGCGGGCCTCGGCGGGGTTGCGAGCCTCCCCCGCCGACGTGGCCGACGTGGCAGGGGCAGCTCCCTCCTCCTGCGGCGGGGTTGCGAGCCTCCCCCGCCGACGTGGCCGACGTGGCAGGGGCAGCTCCCTCCTCCTCCTGGCCGTCTCCTGGGGCCTGTGCACCGACGTGTGCTCTGCACCAGGGCCTGTGGCCCTACGGCAGGGGTGAGTGCATCGAGGTGCGTCCTCTGCCAGGGCCTGTGGCCGTACGGCAGGGGTGGGAGCACGGCCACGTGCACCGCAGCGTACAGTGCCGTTTTTGATACATGCTCCGCGTGCGGATCATGCACAGCAAATGCAGGGATTTAGCACTAAAAACAACGATGAGCTTACGCATGAATTCATTCGTAAATTAATCATGCATTTCAAATCCTATACTTCTGAGAACCCCATGTATTAAGAACTGCCCTGTACAGCCGGCCCGTCGAAAGCCTCTCCTCTGGCGCCGCCTGGGGCCCCGGCGCGGCTCCTCCTCTCGCCTCCCGGCCCTCCTCGCGGCCCCGAGTGTGCCCCCGCGCGGCCCTCGGAGCGGACCGGCAGCGGCACCCAAAAGCGCCTCGGTGACGGTCGCATCGAGGCCCCGCGTGTCGCCAGGGGTGGCGCCAGAGCTCATCTGGCCTTATGTCGGGCGTGTCCCCCCTGCGGGGGGATTTTCGATGAGAAGTAAAAAATACCCCAGAACTGCCCCAAAAAGGTAAAAAGATACCCCTAAGAATAGTCCCCAGACTATTTTTGTTTTTTTTCCAATTTAAAATTGCGTCGGAAATCCACATATAAGAAGCCGAACAAGTAGGGCGGATTTTTTTGTACCCAACATAAAACAGGGCGGAAATTCACAGAAGTAGGGCGGAAACAGCAACAAAAAAGTAGGGCGGATCCGGAGTCAGGGCAGGGTGACTGGCTTCACCACTCCGGCAACAGGCAAGGAAGAAGAAGAGCACGACACGCAGCTGGGAAGAGCACCACCAGCGGCCGCGCGCCGTCCAGCTCTGCAGCTCGAGCTTGCTGTGCCCGCTGCTTCCAGGCAGCCGAAACATCCCACGTGGGGGTGTATAGGCGGTCGTGCCGCAGATGCCCTTGCCCGCGCCTTCACCCCGCTGGGCGTCCAGCTCCTGCTGGGCGCTCGCTGGGAGGTGTACGCCCTGCTCCTCGGCTTGTCGGGCCCACTCCGCCACCTCCGAGGGGGCCATGCCGAGGAGGCGACGCAGGAAAGCAGCGTCACCGCCGTCTTCCTCCACGGGACGGCGTGGATTCCGCGCCCTCGATCCGCCCGCGCTGGCCGCTGGCGCAGGAGTGTCCTCCGGGGCGGCAGCAGCAGCAGCAGCGGCCGCGCCGGGAGCGGCAGCCTGCATCTCCGTCTGGTGCATCGCCTGGGAGGTGCTGCACCCAGCAGTCACCCCAGGGCTTCGGATTGCTCCATTGTCGTCGTCGTCGTCGTCGTCGTCGTCGTCGTCGTCGTCGTCGTCGTCGTCGTCGTCGTCGTCGTCCGTGTCGTGTCGTCCTGTCGTCGTGGCCTCCCGTGGCCCCCGTGCCCTCCCTCCCGGCCGTCGTGGGCTCGCCTGGCCACCCTGCGCCGGCCTCCCCTGGCCTCCCCTGCCCTCCCCTGGCCGTCGTGGCCTCCCTTGGCCTCCCTGGTAGCCCTGGTCTCTGGCCTCCCTGGCCTCTCCCTGGTAGCCCTGGCCCGCCCCCCGCCCGCAGGGCTTCGGGTTGGTTATCCTTTTGCACAGGTGCGCTCTAGAGCTCGGACTTCTCTCTTTCGGTCCAGTCCTGGGTGGTAGCCCTGGCCTCCCTGGCCTCCCCCCCGCCCGCCCCCCAGGGCATTGGACTGCTTTATTTTCGTCGTCGTCGTCGTCGTCGTCGTCGTCGTCGTCGTCGTCTTCGTCGTCGTCTTCGAGGTCGTGGCCTCCCTGCCCCCCCCCCCCTGGCCTGGCCCCCCTGGCCTCCCTCACAGCCCTGGCCTCTGGCCTCCCAGTCCAGGATGGTAGCCCTGGCCTCCGGCCCCCTCGGCCTCCCTGGCCTCCCATGGCCTCCCCCGCCCCCCAGGGCTTCGGACTGTTTTACTATCTTGCGCAGCTGAGCTCGGGAGCTCGGAGCCGTTTAGTTCCGTGGCCGTGGCCGTGGTCCGTGGTCGTCGAGCGCTTGGCCCTGCCCCTGAACCCTGGCCCTGGCTCCTGGGCGGAGCGTCGTTCGACGTCGTCCGCCTCCCGGACCTCACATCAGCCCCGCGACCCATGCCTGTACCCCCCAACCCCCTGGCCGGATTTCTTTTCTTCTTTCCGCGGGGGGTCAACCTTCGCGGCGACCCGTTCAACCCGGGACCCCTGGCGGCGCATGGATCTCTTTCCGTCTTCCGCGCGCGAGTTGCCATTGGAACCCCTGAGCCCCTCCGACTACCGTGCAACTAGTACTTGAGTACAACTGGTACTATCATGTGCTAGCGCGCAGTTGCTCCCAGAGAGCACATTGTCCTGCCGTGCAAGTATTAGAGTGCAACTGGTATCGCGGTGCCGTGCCGTCCTTCTTCTGGGTCCTTCGTTGGAGTCGCGGGGCTGATGACCTCACTTACCTCCTGGCCCACAGCTCCCGGCCCTTCTGGCCTGGCCCTATGGCGTGGAGCTCTTGTCGTCGTCGTGGGCATCGTGGTTTTGGTCGTCGTGGTCGTCGCGGTCGTGGTCGTCGTGGTCGTGGTTCGTGGTCCGTGGTCCGTGGTCATGGTCGTGGTTCGTGGTCCGTGGTCATGGTCGTTGTTGTGGTCGTGGTCGTTGTCGTCGTCGTCGTCGTCGTCGTCGTCGTCGTCGTCGTCGTCGTCGTCGTCGTCGTCGTAGTCGTCATCTTCGTCGTCGCCGCCGTCGTCGTCGTCGTCATCTTCGTCGTCGCCGTCGTCGTCGTCGTCGTCGTCGTCCGCCTCCCTGGCTATCTCGGACCTCCCTGAATTCCTTGCTCATGACACCAACGCTTCTCTTGTCCCTCGCCGCTCCCTCGTGCAAGAGCCAGGGCATGCGTGCCACGTGTTTTCGTCGTCGTCGTCGTGGTCTTGGCTCGTCTTCCCCGTGGCCTCCCCGGACTCATCCCTGGATCGCCACCCATGAACTCGCTGGTTTCCCTCCTGGAGGTAGAGCAGTAGGAGGAGGAAGTCCAAGAGAACAACAGTCAGGATGGAGGGAGAAAGCAGAGGAAGAGGAAAAGGGCGAGGAGGAGGAGGAGGAGCAGGGGGGAAGGGGGACCAGCAGCAGCAGGATGTGGAGAAGCTGTTTCCATGTTCCTCATGTGGCTTCAGGGGCCTTGATCATTGATCCACTGATTCTCGGTCTCAGGGCACCCCCATTATGTTTTTGCAGCCCTGCTGTTGGACGAGGCCTCGGTGGACTATACAAGCGGAGTCCAGACGTGGTGTTTGTGAAGCGCTTCCTGCGGAACCACGACTCGTTCGGCTGAGTGGGCATAGAAATGAAAAAATGGTAGTGAGATTTGCATACAGGATCTAGGCAATAGAGTAGCTGCGAGTCAGTTTCACAAACGTTGTATATAGTAAATGAGATGCGAAGGGAAGGCGCACGCAAGTGCAAGCTGCGCACGTGCGAGCTATATCGTGTGCAACTCTGGTTAGTGCCATGTAAGGTGAAGCCAGGGACACGGTGGGGCATGGTGGGTGCGAGCAGGGAACTAGCGAAGTGCAACCTTGGGGTGATTTTACAACGCCGACATACGCGCGCATGCCGACATGCAGTGGGCACGGGCTACGCTACATTAAACATAACGTCGCCGAGCATCCGGGCTGCACTGTCAATACCACAACTTGTGTGAGGTCTTGCCCAGGTGGCACCATATATGGGAAAGAGCGCGCCCGCAGCGCCGGGAATAAGGAAAGAGGGGTCCCGGCTTCAAGCTACCCCCCCCCTCCCTTCCAAAAGGGGGGGGAGCTTCCGAAGCTACCCCACCCCCCCTCCCTAATGTAAGGGTTTCGAAGCTAGGGGGGCCCTGGCTAAAGAGAGGGGCTTCGAAGCTATCCCCCCCCTCCCTCCCCTTTCCAGGGCAGAAGGTGAGCCCGGGCTTTCCTTTCCAAGGAGGGGGGGGGGGGCTTCGGAAGCCTCCCCCCTCTTTCTTGTTTTGGTCTGGACACAAGGGGGGGCGGCTTCAAGCTACCCCCCTCCACCCTCCTTTGCGAAGGGAGGGAGGCTTCCGAAGCTACCCCCCCCCCCTCCCTTCCAGGGTTATGGCAAAATGGCAGAATCCCTGCAGACAGGTGCGCACCGCAGCGCCAGAGAACGCATTGGAGAATAACGTCGACCCCTGGTTCGTTGTCTTGTTTTCTTGTTTTCTCGGCCCCTGGTTCGTGGTCTCGTTTTCTCGGGCCCTGATTCCTTTTTATCGTTTTCTCGTTTACTCGGCCCCTGGTTCGTTTTCTTGTTTTCTCGTGTTTTCGGCCCCTGGGTCGCGGTCTCGTTTTCTCTGGCCCTGGTTCGTGTTCTCGTTTTCTCGTGTTCTCGGCCCCTGGGTCGTGGTCTCGTTTTCTCAGTCTCTGCTTAGTTTTCTCGTGCTCTCGTTTTCTCGGCCCCTGGGTCGTGTTTTTGTTTTCTCTGACCAAACGTGTTCTGGTGATCATGGCCCTTGGGTCGTGGTTTCGTCGGACCCTGGTTCGTTTTCTCGTTTTCTCAGTTTCTCGGCCCCTGGGTCGTGGGCCGTTTTCGCGTTTTCTCGTTTCCTCGGCCCTTGGGTCGTGGTCTCGTGTTCTCTGGCCCTGGTTCGTGTTCTCGTTTTCTCGTTCACTCTGCCTCTGGTTCGTTATCTTGTTTTCTCATGTGTTCGGCCCCTGGGTCGCGGTCTCGTTTTCTCTGGCCCTGGTTCGTGGTCTCGTTTTCTCGTGTTCTCGGCCCCTGGGTCGTGGTCTCGTTTTCTCAGACTCTGCTTAGTTTTCTCGTTTTCTCGTTTTCTCGGCCCCTGGGTCGTGTTTTTGTTTTCTCGAACGAAGCGTGTTCTGGTGACCTCGGCCCTTGGGTCGTGGTTTCGTCGGACCCTGGTTCGTGTTCTCGGTTTCTCGGTTTCTCGGCCCCTGGGTCGTGGGTCGTTTTCGCGTTGTCTCGTTTCCTCGGCCCCTGGGTCGTGGTATCGTTTTCTCTGGCCTTGGTTCGTTTTCTCGTTGTTTGTTTTCTCGGCCCCTGGGTCGTGGTCTCGATTTCTCTGACCCTGGTTCGTTTCTCTTGTTCTCTCGGCCCCTGGTTCGTAGTTTCGTTTTCTCGGACCCTTGTTTGTTGTGTCGTTTTCTCGTTTTCTCGTCCCATGAGTCGTGGTCGTGTTTTCTATGACCCTGGTTCGTTTTCGCGTTTTCTGTGTCATTGGGTCGTGGTCTCTTTTGCTCGGAGTTTGGTTCGTTTTGTCGTTTTCTCGTGTTCTCGGCCCCTGGGTCGTGGTCTCGTTTTCTCGGACCCTTGTTCGTTGTCTCGGTCTCTCGTTTTCTCGGCGTCTGTGTTTTTGTGTCGTTTTCTAGGGCCCTTCTTCGTGGTCTCGTTTTCTTGTTTTCTCGGCCCCTAGGTCGTGGTCTCATTTTTCATCGGACCCTGGTTCGTTGTCTCGTTTTCTCGTGTTCTCGGTCCCTGGGTCGTGGTCTCGTTTTCTCTGACCCTGGTTGGTTTTATGTTTTCTCGGCCCCTGGGTCGTGGTCTCGTTTTCTCGGGCCCTGGTTCGGTTTCTCGTGTTCTCCGTTGCTCGGCCCCTGGATTATGGTTTAGTTTTGTCTGACCCGTGTTCGCTTTCTCGTTTGCTCTGCCCCTGGGTCGTGGTCCCGTTTGCTCGGACGCTGGTTTGGTTTCTCCTTCTCTCGGCCCCTGAGTAGTTTCGTTTTCTCGGACCCTGGTTCGTGTTCTCGTTTTCTCGGTTTCTCGGCCCCTGGGTCGTGGTCTCGGTTTTTCGGACCCAGGTTCGCTTTCTCGTTTTCTGGGCCCCGGGGTTTTGTCTCGTTTTCTCGGCCGTTGGTTCGTTGTCTTGTTTTCTCGTTTTCTCGGCCCCTGGGTCGTGGTCTCGATTTCTTTGACCCTGATTCGTTTTCTTGTTTTCTTGATTTATCGCCCCCTGGGTCGTGATCTTGGTTTTTCGGACCCTGGTTCGTTTTCTCGTTTTCTGGGCCCCGGGGTTTTGTCTCGTTTTCTCGGCCGTTGGTTCGTTGTCTTGTTTTCTCGTTTTCTCGGCCCCTGGGTCGTGGTCTCGATTTCTTTGACCCTGATTCGTTTTCTTGTTTTCTTGATTTATCGCCCCCTGGGTCGTGATCTTGGTTTTTCGGACCCTGGTTCGTTTTCTCGTTTTCTGGGCCCCGGGGTTTTGTCTCGTTTTCTCGGCCGTTGGTTCGTTGTCTTGTTTTCTCGTTTTCTCGGCCCCTGGGTCGTGGTCTCGATTTCTTTGACCCTGATTAGTTTTCTTGTTTTCTTGATTTATCGTCCCCTGGGTCGTGGTCTTGTTTTCTCGGACCCCGGTTCGTTTTCTCGTTTTCTGGGCCCCGGGGTTTTGCCTCGTTTTCTCGGCCGTTGGTTCGTTGTCTTGTTTTCTCGTTTTCTCGGCCCCTGGGTCGTGGTCTCGATTTCTTTGACCCTGATTCGTTTTCTTGTTTTCTTGATTTATCGTCCCCTGGGTCGTGGTCTTGTTTTCTCGGACCCTGGTTCGTTTTCTCGTTTTCTTGTTTTCTCGGTCCCTGGGTCGTGGTCCAGTTTCTCGTACCCTGTTTTTTTTTGTTTTCTCGTTTTCGCGTTTTCTCTGCCCCTTGGTCGTGGTCTCTTTTTCTCGGACCCCGTTTCGATTTCTCGTTTTCTCGTTTTCTCGGCCCCTGGGTCGTAGTCTCGTTTTCTCGGACCCCGTTTCGGTTTCTTATTTTATCGTTTTCTCGGCCCCTGGGTCGTGGTCTCGTTTTCTCGGGCCCTGGTTCGTTTTCTAGTTTTGTCGGCCTGGTTTTCTCGGACCATGGTTAGTTTTCTCGTTTTCTCTTTGTTTCTGCGCCTGGGTCGTGATTTTGTTTTCTCTGACCCTGGTTCGTTTTCTCGTTTTCTCGTTTTCTCTGCCCCTGGGTGGTGGTCTCGTTTTCTCTGACCCTGGTTCGTGTTCTCGTTTCTTGTTTTCTCGGCCCCTGGGTCGTGGTTCTGTTTTCTCTGACCCTGGTTCGTTTCCTCGTTTTCGCGGCCCCTGGGTCGTGGTCTCGATTTCTCGGACCGATATTTGCGTTTTCTCGGCCTGGGTCGTGGTCTTGTTTTCTCGGCCCCTGGGTCGTTATCTCCTTTTCTCGGACTCTGGTTCATTGTCTTGTTTTCTTGTTTTCTCGGCCCCTGGGTCGTGTTCTCGCTTTCTCGGGCCCTGGTTTGTTTTCTCTTTGTCTCGTTTTCTCGGCCCCTGGGTCGTGGTTTCGTTTTCTCGGGCACTGGTTTGTTTTCTCGTTGTCTCGTTTTGTCTTCCCCTGGGTCGTGGTCTCGTTTCCTCGGACCCTGGGTCGTTTTCGCGTTTTCTCGGCCCCTGGGTCGTGGTCCCGTTTTCTCGGGCCTTGGCTCGTTTTTTCGGACCCTGGTTCGTTTTCTCGTTTTCTTGTTTCCTCGGCCCTGGGCCGTGATTTTGTTTTCTCTGACCCTGCTTCGTTTCCTCGTTTTCGCGGCCCCTGGGTCGTGGTCTCGTTGTCTTTGACCCTGGTTCGTTTTCTTGTTTTCTTGATTTATCGTCCCCTGTGTCGTGGTCTTGTTTCCTCGGACCCTGGTTCGGTTTCTCGTTTTCTTGTTCTCTTGGTCCCTGGGTCGTGGTCCAGTTTCTCGTGCCCTGTTTTTTTTTCGTTTTCGCGTTTTCTCTGCCCCTTGGTCGTGGTCTCTTTTTCTCGGACCCCGTTTCGATTTCTCGTTTTCTCGTCTTCTCGGCCCCTGGGTCGTAGTCTCGTTTTCTCGGACCCCGTTTCGGTTTCTTGTGTTCTCGTTCTCTCAGCCCCTGGGTCGTGGTCTCGTTTTCTCTCACCCTGGGTCGTCGCCGTCGTCTGTTGTCGATCGAGGTCATACGAAGACGGCGACAATGACGGCGACGGCGGCGGCGGCGACGACGACGACGACGACGACGACGGCGTCGTACGAAGACGTCGAGCGACGGCGACGGCAACGACGACGGCGACGGGGGAGGATCGTCCGGCAGGGGGAGTTCAAGGGAGGGGGATGGTAGCTAAGCCGCCCCTCCCCTTTTGGAAAAGGGGGGAGGGGAGGGGAGCTTCCGGCAGGGGCGAGAAAAACTGAGGGAAGGGGGGGGGTGCTTCCGGCAGAGGGGGGTCAAAGAGGGTGGGGTAGCTAAGCTCCACTCCCCTTTCGTAAGGGGGGGAGGGGGCCCAGGTGCCGAAAGGGGGTGAGGGTGGCTGCTGAGCCCCCCCCCCCCTTTGGAACCAAAGGGGGGACGGGGGGGTAGCTTCCGGCAGAGGGGGGTCAAGGGGAGGGGGGGGGGGGGGGGGTCAAGGGGAGGGGGGGGGGGTGTAGCTTCCGGCAGAGGGGGGTCAAGGGGAGGGGGGGGGGGTTAGCTAAGCCCCCCTTTCCTTTGGGAAGGGGGGGATGTGGAAGGTAGCTGCGGAGTGGCGACTGGGGAGGGGGGGGGGAGCTTCAGGGAGGAGGCGAAAAAGGGGGTGAGGGGGGGGAGCTTCTGGCAGGGGAGGTGGAAGGGAGGGGGGGTAGCTCAGGGGGGACCCCCACCTCCTTTGCTCCGGCGCTGTGGGCGCGCTCTCTCGTAGGAAGCGATGTGCATTCAGTACGCGCAGCAATATTCGGAGTGATGGCGGCCTCCAAGTGAGAGAGGGATTCGCCATGTGTGGGCCCAGATGGAGTATACACGTGTGGGCCCAGAAGGAGAACAGCAACCACATCAGCGACAGTTGCACTCTGTGCCGTCATCCCTACCCGCCTCTGCCTCCACCTCCCAGTCCCACCTCCGGCTTCTCCCTTCCCTCCCCCATCTCCCGGGGCCAACAACACCAGGGCATACATTCACGATGCTCTTGGCGGAACGAACACCGAGGGCATATCGCGAGGGCGCTCCGAACGAAAACCCACCCACCCACTCCAGACCAGGCCAAGCCAAGCCCAACCCAGGCAGATGCGGTGATCGATTCTGGCGAAGCCCACCCCCAAACCAGGCCAAGCCAGGCCCCATACCAGGCAGACTCCGGGAACGTTCTAAGCAAAGCCTAGTCCAAACTAGGCCAAGCCAGACCAATCCAGCCAAATTTTGAGGACGACCCCCGCGGAGCCCGCACCAAACCAGGCCAAGCCAGGTGCCAAACTAGACAGAATTTGAGAACGCTCGTGGCGGGAAATGCAGCAGCCTCGTCCGAGCCGGGCCAAGTCACGTCCCAAGCCAAGCGCATATCGAGAATTGTTGAGGCGGACCACTCACCCAGGTGCTCCGTTCACTGTCGCATCATATGCTTGAATTCGAGGAGTTGGTGAGCTGTGAGACGACCTCCCAGGTGGTCGCCCTTCAGAACCTTACGGGGGGGCCTAGGGCCCAAATGCGTACCAGCTTCGAGCAGAACGCCCCCGCATCGTTCATGTTTTGATCTGCGTTAGTCGTGGCGTTCGTGTGGCGTTCGGAGATATACTCCTCAGCTTGTAGTGGACAGCTCGTTCGGAGCATAGTGTAAATACTATAACGATGACACAAGCAGCGAGCTCAAATGGATTGAACATGCGTGGTATAGAGAGTAGATTCTGGACGGGTCGTCTGTTGTTGCATACGGTTTGGAACTGACCAGACGTTGTGGCCACACGTTACCGCTGTGCGAGTACTGCGCGATCGCCGGCTGGTGAGTAATTGTATTAGACATCCAGCCTTGCGCAAGCTGCCTGAGACAGCTAGTCGCAGGTTTCGCGCCGCTTGCACACCGTCACGCCGGGCCCACCAGTTGGCCAGATCCCAGGGTAACACTCTGGAGTGGGACCCGTTGCCCGGCTTTTTCACATCGCTGTAGAACCATTTTAAGCATTATATCTACTATCTCGTGCCCCTTTCAGGGCCGTTCCTGGTGTATTCTTTTTTTTGCCGCCACAGTGTAGTGTCAATGACGCGAGGGTGATTGTTTCTGAAAGGTTGGGAGACCAGCCACTTGTTTTAACGTGATCCCGTCGTCTCTTCTATCCGCTCGACACAGGCGCCCCTGACGGCAGCCAGAAGAGCTCGTGAACCGAAGCGTTCCTCCGTCTTTCGATGTTGTCGGCCTGCTCGGGAAGGGGCGGGGGGATAAGTTTATCCGGATGTTTGCAGGATGAAGGAGCACGGGAAGCGACAGACGATGCTTTTCTCAACCAACTGGAAAGGCGTAGTACCAATGCAGCAGACTTGGATAGGCTTCCAACGAGCTGCTGTAATATCATTTTGATTACACGTTGAAGCCGGCTGTGCCCGAGCTCCGTGTGAGAACTCTCCCAGGCAAACTGCCGTCGGCAAATTTGCGCATTGCAAGCGCAAGGTTCACATTGCATGTGAGGACCAGAGTAGTTCCCCTCGATGGGGCAGTCGGTTCAGATCTGCCAGATTTCCAGAAGGCGCGGGCAGCGACAGACAGACATGCAGACAGACACATGCTTTCCTCGGCGAGGGCGACCGCGGCAGCAGATGGGCAAATACACACGCGCACACACGCACAACCCCCCCCCACCACCACACACACACACACTAAATCACACACACACATATCCGCAGACAAACACACATCCATACACACACACGCGCGCATACACACATATACACACACGAACAACCTCCCCCACCACACAGACACACACACATACACATACACACACGCGCATACACACATACACACACACACGAACAACCTCCCCCCACCACACAGACACACACACACACACACGCACTCACACGCGCGCACGCGCACGCGCACGCGCACGCGCACGCACACACGCACACGCACACACGCACACACACACGCACACACGCACACACGCACACGCACACACGCACACACACACAAACACACACACACACATTCACACACACACACACACAAACACACGCACACACACACACACGCGCATACACATACACACACACGAACAACCTCCCCCACCAGACAGACAGACAGACAGACAGACAGACAGACAGACAGACAGACAGACAGACAGACAGACAGACAGACAGACAGACAGACAGACAGACAGACAGACAGACAGACAGACAGACAGACAGACAGACAGACAGACAGACAGACAGACAGACAGACAGACAGACAGACAGACAGACAGACAGACAGACAGACAGACAGACAGACACACACACACACACACACGCACTCACACGCGCGCACGCGCACGCGCACGCGCACGCACACACGCACACGCACACTTTTTTTTTATACCTGCGGCCTGCGGTAAGGAGCCCTGTGGCAAGAGTGCGGAGCGAAGCGCGGGGAGGGGGGGAGGGAAGCAAAGGGGAGCAGCAACAGCAGCAGCAAAGTGCAAAACCCCAGGCGCGGCCGCGGCCGTCGCCTAGCGCCCCGGCTTTGCGGGGCGCACGCCTAGGCCCAGCGGCGGTCCCGCTAGAAGCAGCTGCCGAGGGCCGCAGCCACCGCAAGCAGCGCCGCGGGCCCAGGGCGGCCGGGGCGCCGGCCGCCGCTTCCAGCAGCGCTGCGCAGCCGCCTCGTGCGCCTCCGGGAAGGCGCGGCAGACCGCGGCCCGCTCCCTCAAGGCGGCCGCCTGGGCCGCCTCCGGGAGGCCGGCCAAGCCGGCCATCTCCCAGCGAGCGGCCGACCCGCCGCCCTCGCGGGCCCCGCCGGCGGCCGGTGCCCCGTCGCCGCCGGGTGCGCTCCTGCTCGCCGCCCGCGCCGCCGGCGCCGCGGCGGCCTTCGCAACCGCGCCGCCGGCCACGGCGCACCCGCCGGCAGCCGGAGAGCCGTTGCTGCCGGCCTCGGCGTTCCCGCCGGCAGCCAGAGAACCGTTGCTGCCGGCCACGCCGCATCCGCGGCGGCGGCCGGGAGCCTCCGCGGCGGCCCCCACGCTGGCGCCGGCGCGGCCCCGCGCGCCAGCAGCCGGACTCTCCGTCGCTGCTGGCGGCCTCGCCGCGCGCGTGCGGCAAGTCGACGCCGTCGGCCTGGTCGACGGCGCGCGGGGGCGAGAGACCGTCGCCGCCCCGTCCTCGGCAGCCGGCTTCCCGTCGCTGCCTCCTGGGGCGTCGGGGACTCCCAGCGCGGCCGCCGAAGCAGCCAGGTTGCGCCCGCGCGGCGGCGTGGGCACCGGCGCCCGCCCCGCGGGCTGCTGGCCGCGTCGCCGTCGCACGCCTCGTCTGCCCAGGGGGACCGCCGCGGCACAGCCCGAGGCGTCCCGTCCAAGGCGTCGTACTCCGCCTCGATGGCGTGCTCGTCGGCGTCCATGGGGATGGCGGCCTCACCGTTGCTGCAGCCAGCGCTGCAGCCGGAAGGGCCGCCGGGCGAGGAGCGGCCGCCGGGGCCGCTCAGAGGGGCCACTGGAGCAGGACCTGGCCCGCAGGCAAGTCCAGGGCCGCGAACCCTTGCCAGCCCGCCTGGTGCAGCGCGGCTGCAATCAGCTGCGCGTTGGGGGCGCCTCGCACTCCCGCCGGAGCCCCCGCCCGGGCTGCTGCAGCCCTCCTCTCCGGAGGAGGGGCCGGGGCTGCCTTGGCGGTGGCGCCAGCAAGGGCGCCTCCTGGCGGCGCGTCCGGGGGTGCCAGGGCCTGGGCTGCTGGTGGAGCGGCCGGTGAGACCGTCGCCGCTCCCTTGCCAGGCTCCTCCGCCTGCTCCGCCTCGCTGCTGTAGTCCGCGTACTCGTCGCTGCAGTTCTCGCTCTCGGCCGAGCCAGTCGGGCTCTGCTGCGGTGTCCGGCCTCCGCCTGGCGGAGGCGGGCTGCCGGCCGCCGTCGAGCCCGGGGGAGCTTGCCTCGCGCGGGGGGGCCTGCCCGAGGCGGCGTGGCGGGCACCAGGAGCGCCCGGCTCTGGTGCGGCGTGCCCCTCGCGGTCGCCGCCGAGCCCTGGTTCCTGTTCGCGTGCTTCTCTGGCGCCGGCCTCCTCCCCCCGCGCGGGGTCGGAGGGCACCAACCATACACCAACACCGATCCTGGCCCAGGATCACCCTGGGCCCAGGATCGGTGTATATGCCTTCTTGCGCAAGGCAGGAGGGCGTATACACCGATCCTGGGCCCAGGGTGATCCTGGCCAGGATCGGTGTTGGTGTATAGTTGGTGCCTTCCTACGGGGGGGTCGCGGCTGCGGCCGCGGCTTCGGCTGCGGCGGCAGCGAGTCCGCCGCCGGTGCGAGAAGTACACGTGTCGCCTCGTCTCGGACCCGCGCCCCGGAGAGCGCCTGCGTCGTGGGGACTCCAGCCGGGCCGCCGGAAAGGCCTCGGCCCTCGGGGCCGCCCGCGCGCCCCCCCTCCTGCGCAGCAGCATCCGGCAGCCGCCCGCGCGCCTGCGTCCGGAGCGGCTTCGGGGGTCGGTGCCGCGGCAACCCCGTGCGCGGCAGCGGCTGCGGCGGCGCCCCCGCACCACAGGACTGGGGCCGCTGCCAAGGAGGACGGCCCGAGCGGGACGGCGCTGAGCTGCCACCCCCACCCCGGGGAGAGGCTGGGCAGGCACAGCACCGTTTGCCCATGCGGCGCCCACTGCATGGGCCGCCGGCGCGGCCGCCAGAACAGCTGGTGGGCCCTCGAGCCCACGGCCGCGGCAAGCTTCCCCCCCCCCCCCACGGGGGTGGGGAACTTCAGCCAAAATGGCTACGGACACACGCACACGCACACACGCACACACGCACACACGCACACACGCACACACGCACACACGCACACACGCACACACGCACACACGCACACGCACACACGCACACACACACACATTCACACACAAACACACACATACACACACGCGCATACACACACACACGAACAACCTCCCCCACCACACAGACACAGACACACACACACACACACACGCGCACTCACACGCGCGCAAGCGCACGCGCACGCGCACGCACACACGCACACGCACACGCACACACGCACACACGCACACACGCACACACGCACACACGCACACACCCACACCCGCACACGCACACACACACACACACACACGCACTCACGCATCCACACACACACGCACACGCATACACACATACACACACGCGCATACACACATACACACACACGAACAACCTCCCCCACCACACAGACACACACACAAACACACACATACACACACACACACACACACACACGCGCATACACACATATACACACACACGAACAACCTCCCCCACCACACAGACACACACACACACACACACACACGCACTCACACGCGCGCACGCGCACGCGCACGCGCACGCACACACGCACACGCACACGGACACGCACACACGCACACACGCACACACGCACACACGCACACGCACACACGCACCCACACACACACATTCACACACACACACACACACGAAAACACAAATATATACACACGCGCATACACATACACACACACACGAACAACCTCCCCCACCACACACACACACACACACACGCACTCACACGCGCGCACGCGCACGCGCACGCGCATGTACACACGCACACGCACACGCACACACGCACACACCCACACGCGCACACGCGCACACGCACACACGCACACACACACACATTCACACACAAACACACACTACACACACGCGCATACACACATGCACACACACACACACACGAACAACCTCCCCCACCACACAGACACACCCGCACACGCACTCACACGCGCGCACGCGCACGCGCACGCGCACGCACACACGCACACGCACACGCACACACGCACACACGCACACACGCACACACGCACACACGAACACACGAACACACACACACACATTCACACACGCGCATACACACATGCACACACGAACAACCTCCCCCACCACACAGACACACACACACACACACGCACACACACACACACACACACACGCACTCACACGCGCGCACGCGCACGCCACGCGCACGCACACACGCACACACGCACACACGCATACACGCACACACGCACACACCCACACCCGCACACGCACACACACACACACGCACTCACACATCAACACACAAACACACCCACACATATACACACACACGCGCATACACACATACACGCACGAACAACCTCCCCCACCACACAGACACACACAAACACATACACACACACACACGCGCATACACACATACACACACACGAGCAACCTCCCCCACCACACAGACACACACACACACACACGCACTCACACGCGCGCACGCGCACGCGCACGCGCACGCACACACGCACACGCACAGCACACGCACACATGCACACACGCACACACGCACACACGCACACGCACACGCACACACACACACACACACACACACGCATTCACACACATACACACACGCACACACACGTTCGCATACACACATACACACACACACGAACAACCTCCCCCACCCCTCAGACACACACACACCACACACACACACACACACGCACTCACACGCGCGCACGCGCACGCGCACGCGCACGCACACGCGCACACGCTCACGAACACAAACACACCCACACACGCACACGCACACACGCACACGCACACACGCACACAAACACACACATTCACACACTAACACACACACACACACACACGCACACACGCACACGCACACGCACACACGCACACGCGCGCACGCGCACGCGCACGCGCACGCACACACGCACACGCACACACGCACACACGCACACACGCACACGCACACACGCACACACGCACACACGCACACACGCACACACGCACACGCACACACGCACACACACATTCACACACAAACACACACACATACACACACGCATACACACATACACACACGAACAACCTCCCCCACCACACAGACACACACACACACACACACACACACGCACTCACACGCGCGCACGCGCACGCGCACGCGCACGCACACACGCACACCCGCACACGCACACACGCACACACGCACACATGCACACACGTATACACGCACACGCACACCCGCACAGACACACACACACATTCACACACAAACACACACACACACATACACACACGCGCATACACACATACACACACACACACACGAACAACCTCCCCCACCACACAGACACACACACACACACGCACTCACACGCGCGCACGCACACGCGCACGCGCACGCGCACACGCACACGCACACCCGCACACGCGCACACACGCACACACCCACACCCTCACACGCACACACACACACACACACACGCACCTACACAGACTCTCTTCGGTGGCACGCAGCTGGGTGAGACGCTGGACGAGCGCTCAAAACCGCACGCCCTGCAATAACTAATGGCAGGCGAAGCACCAGGGGACGCTGCAAGGCAGGCCGAAGACTGCACGGTCAGCCTAATTCGGACGGCAAGGGGCCAGCAAGGAAAGGCAGCGGAGAAGCAAGGGCGCGGGCCCAGCTCACCGGGTCGCTTCGAGCCGCGACGGCATATATCCTGCGTGGTAGCTGGCTTCTGAAAACGGCGGTTGCTCGTCTCGGGCTCCAGCCTCGTCGCTCACAGCTGACAGAGATCGCCCGTCTCGCACGTGTGGATTCCGGAATCGTAGCTGACTGTTGCGGGCTCGAGCCGCCAGGAGAGTGGTCGGGGAGGCCGCCGGAATGCGGCGTCGGGGGCGGCGCCGGGGCGAGGGCGTCGACGGCGGCAGCGGGCCGCGGCGCCAGGCGCGTGCCGCGGGAGCGGCGGCGGGCACGGGAGCGGGCGAGGCGCGTCGGGCAGGGCACCGGGTAGGCTTAAGTCGGGCCTGTCCCTCTACAGGAGGAAAGTGCAAGAATAGTCGAACAAGATAGGCTGGCGACTATCTTGGGGGTGTCGTTTTGCCAGGCTGGTGCATGTCATGGCTATTCTTCTTGTCTTTCGTCGGCAGTCCCCCCCTGTGTGTAGGGGGGCGCGCCCGACTGAGGGGTAGGCCGGCGGCAAGGCGGGCGGGACGGGCGTCGGGGCAGGCGTCGGGTGGGGAGCCGAAGGCAGGGGGCGCTCGGGAGGCGAGGGCGTCGGCGGCCCGTGGCCGGCAGGGAGGCCGGCTCTCGGGCCCGGGGGGGGCGCCGGAGGGGCGCCGCTCTGCCGGGCAGGTGCCGTGCAGGGAGCGAAGGGGGCGCGCCGAGGCGGGAGGCCGGGGCCCAGAGGTTGTCCACAGCGGCGGCGGCCAGCCGCACGGGTCACACCGCCTGCGGCTTCAGCGACGGCCGGATGCGTATGGTTCCGCCTGCGGTGCGGCCACTTCGCTGCCGCGGCGGGCCGACTCCCTGGGGCGAAGCCTTCGGGCTCCGTGCCCGCCGCGGCCGTCCAGGGCGGGTCGAGACTACCTGCAGCGGATCGCGCGCGGCCTTTGGCCCAAGGCGTGCGGGTTCGCGCGGGGGAAGGGGCCACTGCGCAAGGGTTCTGGAGGGCGATCCATCGAGAGGAAGCATGTTGCCAAGTCACTTCCAGATGTCTAAAGCATGTGTTCAACTTGTTTTAGACATGTAAACCGGGATATGTTGAACATTTCCAGGACACGTTTCCTACACTTGAAGCACACTTTTCATCCGATGGTAGGACTGTTAGGGTGTCCACTGTCGTGGCATCCACAGCGCAAGGGGGCCCTGTCAGTCGGCCAATCCAGGGTAGGGTCCGCAAGGAGGGGCGTCGGGAAGGGCGGCGTCGGAGACGGCGGCAGAGAGGGCGTCGGGCAGGCCGCCAAGATGGTCGTGGGGCGGGCCATCGGATGGGCTCCCGTCGGGGGAGCCCCGGAGGGTGGCCAGGTAGGCCGTCGGGAGTGGCGTCGATCGCGAAGTCGGAGGCGGCGTCGGGTATAACGTCGAGTCCGGCGACGGGTGCGGCGCCGGGCAGGCTGCTTGGTCGTCTGTCGGATGGGCCGTCTGGAGGGTTTCCGTCGGGAAGGGGGTCAGGAGGGTGGCCAGGGAGGCCGTCGAGTGTTGCGTCGGAAAGGCGGAAAGGCTGTCGGGTGGGCCGTCGGGAGGGCCGATGGGGAGGGGGTCGGGAGGGCGTCCAGCTTCGCCTCCCACATCTGCCAGAGTTCGTCGGCGTTGCATGCTTTGATGCCTGCATTGTAGCTGATCGCCTCGGGCTCCAGCTTCGCCCTCCGCATCTGCCAGAGATCGTCGGCTTTGCACGCACTGGTTCCGGAATTGTAGCTGATCGCTTCGGGCTCCAGCTTCTGAGAAGGTGATCGGGGAGGCCGTCGAGAGCGTCGTCGAGGATACGTCATCGGGAGCGGCGTCGGCAAAGGCGCCCGAAGCGGGCGTTGGATATGGCGTCGGGCGTGGCGTCGGGTGGGGAGTCAGGGGTCGGGCTTCGCCTCGCAAGTCTGCCAGAGATCGTCGGCTTCGCACGCGCTGATTCCAAAACTATAGCTGACCGCCTCAGGCACCAGCTTCGCCTCCCAGATCTGCCAGAGATCGTCAGCGTCGCACGCGCCGATTCCGGCATTGTGGCTGATCGTCGCGAGCTCCAGCCTCGCCTCCCGCACCTGCCAGAGAACGCTGGTGCCGCACGTGCCGACTCCAAAACTGTGGCCCATCGTCTCGGGCCCCAGCTCCGCCTCCCGCGCCGAGGCCCGAGTGGCAGCGGGCCTCCTCGGGCTCCCGCCGCGCCAGCCTCGCATCTGCCAGAGCTCGCCAGCCTCGCACCTGCCGACTCCAGGCCTCTCTGGCGGCGCGCCTCGGGCCTCGGCGGCCGCGGCGGCGGCGGCCAGCGGCCGCGCGGGCCGCCCGTCGTGCCGGCCGCCAGCGAGGCCTCCCGCGCCCGAGCGGCGGCGGGCCGGCCCGGCGGCGCCCGCGGCGACGCGCGCAACGGCTAGCGCGCGCGGGTGCCGCGCGCCCGCGCGCGGCAGCGCGGCGCCCGCGGCGTGGGCGCCGCGCGCGGCGGCAGAGCGGCTTGGCCGCGCCGCCCCGGGCGCGCCGGCCACCTTGAGCCAAGGCTTGGGCCAAGGCTTGGGCCAACGGCTTGAGCCAAGGCTTGGGCCAACGGCTTGAGCCAAAATGGCTTGAGCCAAAGTGGCTTGGGCCGAAAGGGCTTGGGCCGAGAGGGCTCGAGCCGAAATGGCTCGAGCCAGAGGCTCGAGCCAGAGACTTGAGCCAAGTGGCTTGAATCAAAAGAGCTTGAACCCAAATGGCTTGAGCCAAAGCTCGAGCCACAATGTTACGGACGCGCACGCACACGCACACATTCACACACGCACACACACACAACGCTTCCTCCAGCGGCGAGGTGACAGCACCCAGCACCACTGCGAAGCGCTAAACAAGGACAGCACACACGATTCTCTTCCAGCGCGCCGATGGGGGGCAATCGACGGTCTGCGAACTTTGCAGAAGGCAGGGTATTCTCAAATCAGACCAGACCCGAGCCTAAGGCTATCTGACGATGTCGGCCCCTCGGGCCAGCCCCGAGGGCCTCAGAGACGGCTCAAGAGACCCCCAGGACGGCCACAGCATTGACCCCTTTGGGACCATCTCAGGACACGTCGGACGCCTGGAATTCGAGCCACGCTTCCAGAGCCCAGAACGCAAAGAGAGAGAGAGAGAGGGAGAGAGACAGGGGGAGAGAATAACGCAGGGCATCCGCGAGTTGGGGGCGTGGTGTCCTTATATGGAGGGTTCGGATTTGCAGGGGCCCGGAGACACTCCACTCAGTGCCCGGGGCACTGGCAGACATGTTCAAAAGGAGAAGGAGATTGCAGTCAATAACTGCCCCAGCTCCAGGACCCCCCTCATTTATGATAAGCACCCCCTTTGTGATGCCTTGCCTTTGAGCTTGCCAGTTCACATTCGTGTAACTTCTGATCAGTACGTACTAGTCGCCGCACCTGTCCCCCCCCCGCCACTTCCCCTCTTTTCCTGCCCCCCCCCCCTCGCAACCCCTTGTTGTTCTCATAGTGTACAGGTCACATGTGCTCCTTTTAGCTAGCGCTCATCTTATTCAAGAGGCTTGCGTCATTACGCCGTCATTACGCCGACCCCCTGATAGTGAGGGAAAGGGAGGAACATGTTTAAATGGAAGACGACGGCGACGACGAAGAAGACGACGACGGCGAGGAGGACGAGGAGGACGAGGAGGACGAGGACGAGGACGACCACGTTTAGAGTAAGAAGGAGGTGAAGGAGGAGGAGGCGGAGGAGGCGCAGAACGACGAGGACGACGGACAGGTTTTGAATGTTCTGGGGGGCCGTGTCGAGATCACTCTCGCGGAACGTTTTTGGGTCAAGTGAGTCATTCGGGGGTTGTCGCTGGTGCCTCCTTTATTCCAAGCTGCGTCGGGGCCCGGGGGAGGGGGTGCAGGAGGGGGCCAGATCACGACCCGAAAACCCCGCTGGGGTCGGCGGATGCTTCCAAGTAGACGTGCTAATGGCGTCCTCTTGGAGGCGGTCTTGGGGAGTCTAGGGGGCCTCTCGGAGGCCTCTTGGGGGCCTCTCGGAGGCCTCTTGGGTGCCTCCTGCGGCCTCATCTGGGTCTCTTGGGGGCCGCCTGGGGCTTCTGCGAGGCATCTTGAAGGCCTGCTGGCGGTCTCGGGAGTCATCTTGGGGCGGGGGACTCGAAATGTCGGTTCGTGCTCCCTCTTTTGAGGCTCCCTTGGGTTGCCTGGGGGCCTTCTTGGGGGGCTCGTGGGCTATCTTGGGGCGATCTTGGGAGCTTCTTGGGCCGAACAGGCGAGAACGGTACAATCTGCCAAACAACAAGGGAGAATCTAAGTTTTCGGCCTCTTAGTGGCCTCTTGGGGAGCCTCTTGGGGCGCTCTTGGTGCGTCTCGGGGGCCTCTTGGGCCGTCTGGATGCTGTCCTGCAGCGCTCTTGGGCCGTCTCGGAGTCCTCTCGGCCCGTCGCCGGGGCCTCTTGGGGTTCTCGTGGCACGTCATGAGACCCTCTTGCCTCTCCGAGGGCCTTGGAGGAGCGCTGATGAGTTCCTGGCCCCACCCCACCCCTTCTCAAACTGCATTTTGGTTCCAGGGGAGGGAGAAAGGGCAGGGGCACAGCCAATTATCTCACACGACTTGTCACCCCAGCAAGCGGGGGTCTGCGGACCAGTAGCATTCCTGTACGTTTCTCTTCAGATAGCATGCTTCTTTTTTGGGTCGCGCCGGGGACATCGAATTCTGGCACCGCTGTATCACCCAGTGGCCACACCAATCTCTCTATCGGTGAATTGGTCGTATGGCCGTTTCATGTTGGGGCTCTCAAACGGCAGAGCCCCCGTTTTTAGTAAATCCACGGGCGATCTACATGGTCGACGTGCTATTCGTTTTTTTTTTGCGCTGGAGGAGCACACGCTGCGTTATCTTGACGCGGTTGTCTGTGTCGAGGCGAACTTCGATGCGTATGCAAGGGTCCACTATATCGACTGGCGAAGGAACAGCGTTGAGATACCTTGATTGCGTCAAAATATATGCATATGTGATGATAGTGTTGCTGCTGCTGCTGATGGTGATGGCGATGGTGACGTCGATCGCAACGACGACGATGCTGTTGATGATGATGATGATACTGATGATGATGATGATGATGATGATGATGATGATGATGATGATGATGATGATGCTGCTGATGCTGATGCTGATGCTGATGATGATGATGATGATGATGATGATGATGATGATGATGATGATGATGATGATGATGATGATGATGATGATGATGATGTAGTTGATCATGTTGATGACGATGATGGTGATAAATCTGGGAAAGAGCATGTTCTGTGGTCGCTTGGAGCGGAGGGGGGGGTTGGAACCGGACCCCCCCCTCCCGTGACGGAGGGGGGGGGTTCGACCCCCCACCCCTCCCTCCCCCACTTCTCCTCCCTCCCTCTCCTCGGGCCGGCGCCTGCGTCGGCGGCGGCTGGCGGCTGGCGGCGGCGGCGGGGACAACGATTTCCTTTTCTGGGCCGACGCTGGCGCTGGCGACGGCGGGCGGCGGCGGCGGGGAGCGTCGACGAGGACGACGGTGGTGGTGGTGGTGGTGGTGGTGGTGGTGGGTTGTGGTGGTGGTGGTGGCGGTGGTGGTGGTTGTGGTGGTGGTGGTGTGGTGGTTTGTTGTGGTTGTGGTGGTTGTGGTGGTGGGTGGTGGTGGTGGTGGTGGTTTGGTGGTGTGGTGGTGGTTTTTGGTGGTGGTGGTGATGGTGATGGTGGGTTGTGGTGGTGGTTTGTTGGTGGTGTGGTGGTGGTTTGTGGTGGTGGTTTGTGGTGGTGGTGATGGTGGGTTGTGGTGGTGGCGGTGGTTTGTGGTGGTGGTGCTGGTGGATGTTGTTTGTGGTGGGTGGTGGTGGTGTTGTGGTAGTTTGTGGTGGTGGTGGTGGTGGGTTGTGCTGCTGGTAGTGGTGGTGGTTGTGGCGGTGGTGTTGGTGGTGTGGTAGAATATGGTGGTGGTGGTAGTGGTGGTGGGTTTTTGTGGTGATGGTGGTGATGGTGAGTTGTGGTTGTGGTGATTGTGGTGGTGGTGGTGGCTGTGGTGGTGGTGGTTGCGTGGTGGGTTGGTTGTGGTGGTGGTGGTGGGTGGGTTGAGGCGGTGGTGGTGGTGGTAGTGGTGGTGGTGGTAGTGGTGGTAATCGTCGCTGCGTCCCCGCCGTCGCCGGCGCCAGCGCCTGCGCTGCTGACCGCCGCCAGCGCCGGCGCCAGCGCCAGCGCCAGAGGGGGGGGGAGGGGGGGTTTTGAACCCCCCCCTCCCCCTTTGGGCTGCCTCTGGTCATCGTTGCTGCGCCCCCGCCGTCGGCGCTGCTGGCGGCCGCCAGCGCCGGCGCCGGCGCCGAGGCGGGGGGGGGAGATTTTGACCCCCCCCCCCTCCCCTTGGGACGGGGGGGGGTTCGGGAGGGGAGGGGTTTGGGGGGGAGGGGAGTCCCCTGGGTTTTGATCGACGGCGCCAAGTGTTTGGGGGGGGTCCACCCCCCGGTTCGAAACGCGCCGCCGAATGTTCCCAAGGCAAGCGCCCGTGAAACGCGTTCTTTCGAATATGACGATGCTGATGGTGGTGATGGTGCTGATGACCACGATGGTGATGGTAATGATGATGATGGTGAGGATGATGCTGATGGTGATGATGATGGTGATGATGGTCGAAGCTTCTTCCGCAGGGATGCAAGATGTTCTGCCTGGCTAGGATGGTCCGTGTCTTTGTGTTGATGGGCATGTCATGCTTTTTGTTGCGGCTTGTGCCAGAACCGAGGCAATCACGCTGGTCCAAAGCTCACGCAACTGGCACAAGGAGTGTCAGGGCGGGAGATAGGAGGGGTAGCAGGCGTTGTCGGGCCAGCAGACACAGGTGGATCGCTGAATCATCCTCCCCACCCTTATTCGTAAGAGGAGGAAGATAAGAGTTAAGCCATAATGCGCGAGGATCCTGCAACGCACCCTTCCGTCCCAAGTCCCCTTCGCAAGCCCACACGAGTACTAAAGTCATCCGGTACGGGGAGCGCCCTCGTGAAAGACGAGAGCACGTGGGCCTGCCATACAAGCGAGAGGCTCGCTTGGAAACGCAGCCGCGATCCACCCACGCAGTTACGGGCATTGCAGAGGGCTGCGTCGCACATCAAAAAAGAAGAACAGAGGGATATATCCCAGCAGTGGGAAACGACCGCCTTCTAATTATCGGTGTAGCTGGTGCAGGCGCTTGCGACGAACACGGTCGAGGATTTTGGCTCAGCGTGTCGCTCGGCTGGTCGCGGCCCACCATGCTCCAGCGCGACACGCTGACCATCACCACCCACCAAACCACCCCAACCCAACCCGAAGGCTCAGATTTACCCTCGATTTCCAGTGGGGGGGGGTCGGGGAACATCGAAAAAACACATGTGGAACCCTTACCCCCCCCAACCCGAAATTCGGGTCTTCGGGTTGGGTTGGGGTGGTCTGGTAGGTAGTCAGACCACGTCCCAGCCCCCGAGCGTCCACCTCCCGAGCCTCTCCCAGCCCCCCCGCCCCGCGGAGCGGAGCGACGCGCTGTCCCGCCTGCAGGGCAGGGCAGGGCGTGCCGAGGGGGACGCCGCCCAAGCACGCGAATATCAAACGTCCCAGACCGTGCGCCTGGCGCTAAGGCCAGGGACATTCGGGAGGGAAGGAAACACACAGACACCATCAGTCGTCGATTCCCAGAAGATATATAAGGAAATACGGGAAGTGGGGGGGAAGAGAGAAACCCAGAAACTATAGGAAGATATGGGGAATCTTGTTACTTGTGTCTATTGATTTGTGTGTGTCCCAGGGCCCCTTCAGACACATCCACCGGAAACCAGCCGCCCGATGTGCAAACCCTGGCCGGAGCGCTCCCGTTTCGAAGCCCTGCTGCTCTCCGTCCGCGCAGCCTGCCGCAAACTTCTCGAGGCGGACGGGTGCTGCGATGCTGCGAGAGCCGCACCTTCAGGGGGAGCCGCCCTTGCTTTGCGAACTTGCCAGAGGTGCCCAGCTTCGGCGTCGAGCAAGCCTAAGACGAGACACGCCGCCCGCCTCGCTGCGGGGCCCGGTGGTGCGACAACGAGCAGAGTCGTGTCGGGAAGTCCAGGCCTCGCAGAGAGGGTTCGAGTTAAAGGGGGTCGGAGGATCGAGCCGCATCGCCGACGCATCGGCGATGCAGCTTGATGTGGAGCCCGATTATCTCCTCGCCGACGGCGTCGATGCGTTGCCAACGTCACCGATGCATTGCGAACCTCTGATCCCACCTACTCGGACCCCATTTGGGAGGCCTCCAGGAAGAGGGGCGGACGGTGGACCGGGGAGCAGCACTGGCCACAGGAGCAGCAGCCACAGGAGCAGCGGGATCTGCCCATCGCTTTTGCGTTCCCCTGCGCCGCCTAACACCGGCACTCGCATCGCCTTAGCAGTCCTCTCGTGCTGGGGCAGCAGAGATCCAGGCAGCGGGATCAGCAGCTCTGGCGGGAGGAGGAGCGGTGGCAGCAATAACAGGAGGTGAGAGTGCGCCGTACCCATTATCCATCCATCCATCCATCCATCCATCCATCCTCCCTCTCTCCTACTCTCTTCGCCCTGTTTCCTCCCTCCCTCTTCCCTCTCTCATGCTGTGGCCTTGCCGAACAAAGAGGTGAATGGACGGCAAGACTGCGCTTTGCGCTTCTGTTCGTCTGGGTTCTCATGGGGTGGCGACCGTCGAGCCTTCCTGATCGCGTCGTTTCGCTTGCCAGGGGCCACCGGGTGGGCCCCTGGATCGAAATCTCTCCTATTCCGGAAGCCTGGCCCCAGGGGCCCCAGGCCCCAGCACACCAGGGGCATACACTAAGTGCCCTCTCGGCTCCCAGAGCCTCCCTGGAGCTTCCCACGGCCCACCCAGGGCTTTTAGATATGTGTTCAGACGGGCCAAGATGTCTGCCGGCGGGCCAAAATGGCTCCAAGAGGACCCCAAACAGGGCCCTGAGAGGCAAACATCGGCCCATTCCTATAGGGAAACGCACGTTTTTCGCATGTCCATTTGTTGATCTTCGTATGGACAGCGACGGCCCAAGATGCCCCCAAAATCGCTTCGAGACGGCCCAAGAGGCACCCAGGAGTGTCAAAAAACGGCCAAAGAGGGTTTCAGGACGGCCCCAGGGGCGCCCAAGAACGCCCCAAGTGGGCCCCGACACGGGCCCCAGAGGGGGCGTTCGAATTGTGAGTTCGAGCCTCCCGCCCCAAGAGGATCCCCAAGACCCCGAGGAGGCTCCCAAGAGGCACCCAAGAGACCAACACATGCCCCCAGGAGGCCCTCAAGAGTCCCTAAGATCCCCAAACGACCCCCAAGCGAGCCCAAGAGAGTCCAAAAGCCCCCAAGAGACTCCCAAACGGCCCCCAAGAGACCCCTACAAGGTTCACGATTGCCTCCAAGAGGCTCCCTGCAGGTTCCGAGACCCCAGCAGCCACCCAAGAAGCCGTTAATCCCCAACCCAGGCGCGGGATGGGCCGAATGCCATCATCCGTGTCACCAGGGGAGAGCGGCACCCTCGTGGGCGTCAGAGGTTGACACCTCCAATCCCTCCTTCCTCATCTTCTTCGGGTGACCCGAGTCGCTCCCCAGGCCGCGAAAAGCGGTCAAGGGGTAGAGACCGGGCGGGCATCAGAAGGTTGAACCCTCCGATCTTTTTTCCTTCCAGGAGGCCCCCAAGAGGCCCCTAAACTCTCCCGCAGAGGCCCCCGAGAGCCCTCTCGAGAGACCCCAAGAAGCGTCCATGAGGACTCCGACCCAAAGCCCAAGCACGGTGACTGGATGGGCCGACGGCCATTTGATAGCTGGCATTTTTTTGTCGCGACCGCAGGCGAAGGCGCCGGCGGCGTCACAGGTCGGCTCGGGCTACGAGCAGGACTAATTGCCTAGCGCGCGCGCAGACAACTGCAAAACCTACCGCCGGGGTAAGCTGGGCTGATAGCTGGCATACGCGCCGCGTCACGGCTTTCGATGCTGCGCGCCATTTCGGCGAACTCCCAGGGAGCGGCGGGTGATGCGCCGCTGGCGTCCTCGATTTTTTGTTCCTTCCTCATTTTTTTCAGGGTGACCCGAGTCGCTCCCCTGGCCGCGAAAAGCGGTAGGTTGAACCCTCCAAGCTTTTTTCTTCCTTCATTTTTTTCCAGGTGACCCGAGTCGCTCCCCGGGCCGCGAATAGCGGTCAAGGGGGGGTGGCCGGGGCGGGCGTCAGAGGTTGAACCCTCCAAACTTTTTTCCTCCCTCATCCTTTTTCGGGTGACCCGAGTCGCTCCTCCCGGCCGCGAAAAGCGGGCAGAGGGGGTGCCTTTGGGGCGCTCCTCAATGTTGACGGCATTGTTTTCCCGAGACGCCCCCCTGGCCGCGAGGCGCGGTCAAGGGGGCGGGGGGGAGCCCGGGAGGCGCTCTTGAAGCCGTGGTGTTCCGAGGCGCCCCCCTGGCCGCGAGCCGCGGTCAAGGTTGGGGCCTGGGGGGCTTTCAAGGTTGGAGGGTTGTTTTCCCGAGGCGCCCCCCTGGCCGCGAAACGCGGTCGAGGGGGCATGCCCGGGGGGCGCTCTAGGTGGAAACCGTGTTGGCCTGGACGCCGCCCCTGCCGCAGGACGCGGTCAAGGAGGAGACGATCATGTGCGTGTGCATCCGCATGGAATTATGTATGTACGTATGTATCTACGTTTACAGAAACACGGTGCGACAAGTGGGCCGGCGAAGGTTGCAACCCTATGCAGTTGCGTGCAGCGCAGGGTGCGGCCCTCTCTTCATGTACTGCGCGCAGCGGTGGTGCATTGCGGAGAGGCGGCTGTTGCAGAGGTTGCGCGCAGAAACGCGTTAAATTTCTTGTAGAAAACATCCGCGTGAAGCGTGCGCTGAAAGGGGTGCGGGGGCGCCATGCGAAGTTGCTCTTTGGTGCCATAGGTGGAGCTGCTGGCAGGGCACGATCAGCGTCCGGGGGCGCCGACATTTAAGAAGAGACATCATGCGACCCCCCCCCCGTCGGGCCGTCGGTGGAGATCCCTGTGGGGCGAGATCCGGGTGAGGGGTGTGTCAGAATGTGCCCGGGGACGCCAAGCGACCCTTCTCCCTAGGGCCGTAGGTGGAGATCCCTGTGAGGTTCGATCCGCGTTAGGGGTGTGCCGGAATGGTCGTGCCGAAGCGGGCGGGGCAACGTTACGCGATCACGACAATGTTCTTCCACTTCCTTCGTTCCTCCCCGCCCCCCTGGCTTGAATTTTCTCTCATCCCTCTTTCCGCCTGTATCCTCGTTTCTCCCTCCTTTCTCTTCCCTCTTGGTGCTTCTCTCCTCTCTCTCCTCCCTCCAATGTGCTCCCGAAAGAAAGCCGATGGTACTTGTGACCCCCAGCCCTGGCTTCCCGATATCTTTCATCGGACTTTCCGTCCTTGGATGCTCTGAGTTCTTCGGGTTCGTCGGGTTCCTTCGGTTCCTCGATTGCTTTGCATTGCATTGCGTCGCTTTGCGCCACATTTTCGTTAGTATGGCTTTGTTCTTCACATTGCATTGTTCTACAATTGCTGTGCATTCTTTTGGCTTGTGCTGCATCGCGTTGCCATGCACTTGCGTTGCTCAGTTTTGCTTGTGATGCATTGCGTCGCATTGCCATCGGATGCTATTTCCATGGCAATGCGTTGCAATGCACTGTCGCTGCATTGGCTGCGTACCTTTCACTGCATTGCATTGCTCCGCATTCAACTGTACGCATGTGTATTTGTCGGTACGTCGTCTCTGTTCAAACCGCTTTCTTGCGATTTCGTGAACTCCTATTCAAGCCATTTGTTGGCGCTACTTTTGCGCAGGTGCGAGCTTCCCAATGCCCTGGGACTGGCTAGAACCTAAGCGCTCGCGAAGCGCGCGCGTGGTTCTAGTCGTGAAGGCCAGCCAGCTGGAGTCGAGCTCACTTTTCTGTTGTGAAACCAGGGGGTGAATCATTCAATTTCGGATATGTCAAACCCACTAAAAGGCTCCAGGAGAGAGAGAGAGAGAGAGAGAGAGAGCGAGAGAGAGAGAGAGGGAGAGACCCAGGAACGGGAGCTCGAGCCGACCTGTCTCGAGCCCCCCGCCCGAGGCCCCCCCCCCCCGAGGCTGTCCGCGAGCCCCCCCCCCCCCCGACCCCCCCCCCCCCCCCCCGAGGCAGAGAGCGCCCCAGCGAGGCCCCCGAGCAGCGTCCCAGGTCTTTGGCCTCCTGGATGGGGTCGAAGCAGATGGGGTCAGAGGGTCGTGCCGCATCGTCGATGCGTCGGCGATGCGGCTCGATGCGGAGCCCGAGGTTCTCCACGCCCACGTCGCCGACGCATCGCCGACGTCTCCGATTCATCGCGGATGCATCGCCGATGCATCGGCGATGCATTGGCGATGCGATCCTTCGACCCCGTCTACCCGGACCCCATCCAGCAGGCCTCTACCAGAGGCCTCCGAAAACGCACCCGGAGTGGCTTGGCCGGGTAACACGAATGAATGCTGGATTGCTCTGTTTCGAGTGCTGTCGGCACAGCCGCGTGGTGAACCTTTGCGCGTCCAGGACGCTCGCAAAGAAGGCCCGCATCAGCCCTCCAGAGGTCTCTCACATGCCTCTCCCACACAGCCCAAGGATGGCCCCAGGATAGGCCCAACATGCTGCCAAGACGGCCCAGAGGGGCCCAATGTGCCCAAAGACGGCCCCAGCATGACCCCACGAGACCGAAGACGGCCACGGAAGGGTGCCTCCCTGACGGTTTTCCCTGCATGCGTCCAGGAGGCTCCAAGACAGCTTCAAACATCGGTGAAGGCGGAGGGGAAACGCCTCAAGCCTGCCGCCCAGACTCCGAAACGGGGACTGTTGCACTGTCGAGCAGTACTGCACCCACCAGAACCATTCCACCGACACCGGAAACAAATCGCGCTTCATCAAAACTTCCCGGGCCTTTTTCACGGTGGCCTCAGGGCTCGAGGGCCTCCGTGAAAATGAGGGGTTGATGGGCCGTGTCGTCCGGGCCCCTGGGCCGGAGGGCAGAACACTCTTCCGAAGTCCTTCTCCCCTGGGTACCGAATGCATCTCCGCAGGGGTCCCCTCGCCCGGCCCCGCGCTTGGGGGGGGCCAAGATCTTCCCCGAGGGCGATCAGACGGCCGCCCAGGCGGTCCGAGACGGCCTAGAGAGAGGTCGCAGACGGCCAACGAAGCGTCTCAAACGGTCGAAGGGGCCCCCAAGATCTCTCGAGAGGGTCCTCCATAGCCATTTTGGCTCAAGAAGCACTTTCGCTGAGGGCGTAGATTCATCAAGTGTCCCGATAACCAGTCCCATTGTTCGCACATGATGGCAACACTCAGTGCCATCCAGAGCGTCGTGGAGGCATATGTCTCCAGCGTCGCACCAACCACGTTGGCCTTTGGCTTCTTGACCCTGGTGCCGTGGAGCTCGCAGGAAAAGCCGGCCAACGTGCTGACATCTGGAGCAGGCGGAGAGGTGAGTTTGGAAAGCATCGCCCAGATAGTGGAGCAGCACGACGTCGTGTTGATCGTATCCGTATACAGGACGAAGAGGGAGAAGAGAGGCGTGGCAGGTCTTCTGAAGTATCTGAGGACGGCGCATCCCGACGCGATCGTCTTCTTGGTACAGCTTCCAGATCGGCTTGATACCGAGCTGACCAAGGCCTACATCAGTGAATTGATGGCGCGGCAGGACGAGCTCTACAGCTTTGGAGCGGACGGCGTGTTGATGGAGCTGGCAGGTGACCCGGAGGGGCTGCAACATAGGTTAAGCTTGGAGCTTCAAGAGAACGCCGCCATTCAGCAGCGCGTGCAGGCATTTGCTAACAATGCGAACCAGGGGATACCCTCTGCCAGGGATCTCAAAATCATCGAGGACGAGTTCCGTGGTCTCCTCTGGAATGACATCCCGAATTTGTTGATGTCAGGCTTCGCGCCACTGGACAAGCGTCTCCTGGAAGATGGGAATCGGGTCGGGCATTTCCGGTTTGTGCGCCCACATTCGGATCACCACCACGTGTCGGTGGCCGTGAAAGGACAGCATGAAAAGGTAGTGATCAAAGTGTACGATAAGCGCAGCGTCACCGATGCCAAGATGGTGGAGAGCATATACCAAGAATTCTGTCTCTTGACGCACATCCTTGACCACCCACACATCATCCGATGCGTAGGTATGTTGCAGAGCCGGTGTAATGTGTATTTGGCTCTCCAGTACGGTGGAGACGTGTGCATGGAGCAGGTGTTGTTGACTCAAGGAGGCCACCGCTTGTCCAGGGACGACGCCTTGAACTGCAGTGCCCAGGTCGCGAGTGCTCTGTCCTACTGCCACGCCCAGGACGTCGTGCATGGGCAAGTGTCTCTGAGGCACGTGACGGTAGAGATGGCATGGAATCGGCACATTTGCCGCCTTGTGGACTTCAGCATGGCAGCCCACGTTCCAAACTCAAGCACAAGGAAGACCTTCTGCGGATCTCTACCATGCGTCGCTCCAGAGACGGTGCTGGATGAGCCGTATTTGCCTAAGCCAGCAGACTGCTGGAGTGTTGGGGTGCTGCTCCTGGAGACCGCTTGCGGGCAGGGTTCGCTCGAGATGTCCGTCCAGTGGCGCCGTGGCGAGTCCCTCGCATACGTTGCGTGGGAAATTCTCGAGTTCTTCTCCCAGGCTGGCTGCCACACCGAGGCGATGACGAAGATGGGCAACGTACTTGACGGCATAACGCTGGCGTGCTTGGGGGCGGTGTTGAAGCCCGAGCCAGCTTGCAGAGCGAGTGCGTCCGACATGGTGGAGATGTTATCTATTGCGCACTCCGAGGAAACGGGCTTTGATTGATGTGTTGTTAGTTGCTTTTGCATTGCGGGCGCGTGTGCAGGAGCGCATGCACTCCACAATTTCGCATCATTTTCGCATCCGTGGGGAGTAATGCCAGAACCAGCAGGCGAGCTTTTAAGTGTAAAGGCGCAGTCGGTGCTCACGAGGCCAGATGAACTCCGCGCGCGCGTCCGAGGACGAGGTGACCGTGGCCTCCCTCTGCTCCTCCTCTTTTGGCACTGTTCGGCCCTGCTTCCTTCCAGCGAAGGTGCCTGCATCGCAGCGCTGCTGCCGCTGTCTTTACATAGGGGCTGGGTGCCCCCGAATCCACCGGGCTGGTGCCTGCGTGTGAATACATGCGTGAGTATACATCGGTATACGTTTGCGGAGGAGTGCAACGCAGCATTGATCAGCCAGTGTCTGCACTAGCGTCCTCCGCCACAGCCTCCAGCCAGAATTTCGACGAGCCTCCGCTAAGCGGAGGCCATCTTCGAGAAGAAGCTCGGGGCAAACCGTTAAGGCCGTCTGCTTCCGTGGCGCGAGGCAACAATCGGCGCGCCGCCGTGGGCCCGTGCGCAAATACTCACGGACGTGGGGCAGTCGAGAGGCGTTGCCACATCCGTCCGGCCGATGGTGGGGTACGGGACGGCTGTATGCCTCGGACTGGCAGAGCCCATCCGAGGCAGAGAGCTGATGGCAGGATGGCGGGCTTCCGTCCCGTGAGCCCCCCTCCTGCCTGGCAGCTGAGTGCCGACTGGATGCTCTGTTGCCAGTCTTCTATCCTCGTCCTCGCCCTCCTCTTCTCTTTGTATGCCTTGTCTCCGGCGTGATTCGCCCGAGTGCATATCTTCTGCGCGACTGTATCGGGACGGCGCACACTGACGCGTGCATAACTCGACAGGTAGAACAGTTCTCTGGGAGCAGGATTCTAGAGGCGCCGTCCCCCGTCGCTCGCACTTGGCACCTCCGCCTGCTGCCCGCGCCTGAGTTATCCTCTGCGCCGCGGACTCCCGGGACGAGGAGCCCGAGGCTCTGCGCGCTCGGGCGGGACCGTCGCCTTGGTTGGGGCCCCGGAGGCTGACGCTGGAGGGGCCCGCGCCCGAGTTATCCTCTGCGCCGCGGGCTCCAAAGTGCCGCGGGACGAGGCGCCCGAGGCCCTGCGCGCTCGGGCGGCGGGGGCCGCACAGGGCGCTACAGAGGAGCCGCCTGCGGCGGCGGCCTGGCGCAGGGCGGCGGCCCGGTCGCCGCAGGGCGTCGCGGGCGGCCGTTGGTTGGGGCCCCGGAGGCTTACGCTGGAGGGGCCTCGGCTGCGCGCCCGAGGCCACCCGCCCGGGCGCGGCGGCGCGCCAAAGGCCCCCCGCCCTGGGAGGAGGAGGTCAAAGGCCCCCGCCCAGGCGGAGCCTCGGACTCCGAGGGGCGGCGCCGCCGAGCGGCGGCGCGCTCTCCGGCCTGCCGTAGGGCCAGCCTGTGATTACCCAGCATGCAGAAGAATGTTCGGGGGCTCCGCCGCGCGACGGCTCGTCGTGGCCTCCCGCTGCGCTGGAGGCTGCACCATCGTTGCGCGTGGTGCTGGTCAAGAAAAAGATCTCTCGAGAGGGTCCTGAGCTGGCCCAAAGAGGGCCCCGATATGCAAAACACTTCCCCTTCCCTTAGGGAACGTTGCATTTCTTTGGTTCGTTGTCGTTGTTCGTCTCTCCGTCCGAGACCACCCCACAGGCCCCCAAGTCGGCCAAGGAGCCCCGCAAAAGGGCCCCAGGCTGGCCCAAGAAGACACCAAGATGGCCCAGCAAGGCACCGAGAGGGGAACACTGAACTGACCTCGCCTCGCAAGCCATCCGCTCCAACATGACTCCCCGAGGACGCCAACGGGGCCCCAGGAGGCCCCTCAGAAACTCCCAGAGGACGCGCAAGAGGCCCGCATGAGCTCCACGATGGGACCCCCCAAGAGGCCCACCCTAAGAGGCTTCAAAACTGCCTCGAAGACTTCCGAGAGTCGTGTTGGAGGTCGATCCCAGTGCGCAAGTACCACGCTTGAGCTAATCTGGGGGGCCGCGGCTACTTAGGCGCTGGCTCCTAAGACCAGTTCAAGACAGCCCCAAGACGGCCCACTAAACGTTGCAGACGGCCCAGAAGGCCCCCCAAAAGAACCCAAGACGCACTACGAGGGCCCCAAGAGAGGTCCCCCAGAGGCTGGGAGTGGGCCCCCACGACGCCCCACATATGCCCGAACACCCCCAGAGACCCCCAGAGACATTCATCAACCTGGCACGAACCCCGTAGGGGAAAGCTTCCTACTGCATGGGCACAGTGCTTGGCATTGATTTGCATTGCCTTACACTACCAGGGAACCCGAGGATCAAGACCAGGGAACCCGAAGAACCTAAGCAAGGAACAAGACTGGGGAACCCGAGAAACGCAAGCAGGGAACAAGGGGCCCTCAAGGATCAAGACCGATGAACCCGAGGAACCCAAGCAGGGAACAGACTGGAACCCGAGGAACCCTCATGCAAGGAAACAAGACCGGGGAACCCAAGGCCTTGTAAGGAAATGGACCCGGCGCGACCAAAATTGAGGCAACGTTTCATATTACATGGGCGCAGTGCTTGGCCTTGCTTGGCATTGCTGCGCAGTGGCGTGAAGCCCGATGAAAAAGACCGCGGAGCCCGAGGAACCTGAGCAGGAAACGAGACTGGGGAACCCGAGGAATCCGAGCAGGGAACAACAAGACTAGGGAACCGGAGGAGCCCAAGCAAGGAATACACCCAGCGAGCCCGAAGAACAAGACCGTGGAACCCGAGTAATTCTAGGCCTCTCAGATCGGGTTAGAGTAGACGAGGTCTGAGGATCGCGCCGCATCTCCGATGCATCGGCGATTCATCGGCGATGCGGCTCGATGTGGGCCCAGTTTTCTCCACGCCGACGTCGCCGATGCATCGCCGACGTCGCCAGTGCATCGCCGATGCATCGGCGATGTATCGCCGATGTATCGGCGAAGCGGCGAGATCCTCCGACCCCATCTACCCAGACCCCATCTATGAGGCCTCTAGTAACCCAAGGAAGGAGCTAGACCAGGGAACCCAAATAACCCTCTCTGTGAGGAAACAGGACAGGGGAACCCCGAGGCACCCCAGCAGGACACGTGACCAGGCGCCCCCCAAGGCACCCTCTTCCAAGGAAGCAAGGTTGGGGAACCCCGAGGAATCCTTTTGCAACAAAGCAAGACTGGGGAGCCTGACAGAACCCTGACACGACCGCGTCTGGCACTCACCGGTGTCGCAAGACCAGGGAACCCCGAGGAACACTTCTTGCAAGGAAGCAGGACTGGGGAACTTCGCTGAACCCCGGCGCGACAGCGTCCGGCTGGCACCCACTGGTTTCTCCATCAACGAGTAAGACCTCTGAAGGCAAATATTAGGTCAGACACGTCCTTCTACAGGAGGAATGTTCAAGAATAGTCAACGAATAGTACGGGGACGAGTTTTCGACTTTTATATTTGACCATTTTAGCGTATGTTTGACTATGTTACATTTTTCTCCCAACATTTGTCTGTAGGAGGACATGCCCGACTGAAGGCAAAGACTAAGTGGGAACAAGGATTCCAAGAAGAGCCCCCAAGGGACCTCGTGCTAAATCTCGATCCCCCTCGATCCTCGATCCCTCCCGTTTGCTCCCTTCTTCCCCCATCCCTCCCCTGTTCCTTCCTCTCTCTGGCTCTCGGGGCCAGGGATCGGTCAGGCGGTCGTTCGGGGCGATTCGGGCCGGGACGAGGGGGGAGGACAAGGGGAGGTTCAGGACTCTCTTCACCTGCGTCTCGTCACAGCGCCATGGGCTGCGCGAGAACCTCGGCGCGCGCGAAGCGCGCGCGCGCCTGGTTCTGGTGGAGATGCGGTGCAGGAGGTGCCCAAATGCCACACTGCACGCCCGAGGCGCAGCGTGTCGATCGAGCAGCCTCCTCGGAATCCCCCCGGCACGGAAGGGCGGGGTCCGTCGGCGGCCTCGCACGGCGCCTCCAGCGCGCACGCCGCACTCCTGCGCCCGTGCTGTCAGGGAGTGGGCAACGCGCATGCCCTGGCGACGATGAATCTCATGCTCGCCCGAGGCTCTGCTGCCCCGGCTGTATCCTTGCTCGCCCGGCGAGCTCGAGCCAAAACCCTGCTGCGCAGAGGTGCTTTGCCCCCCGTCGACGCTGTGGCACGGATGCCGAGAAGACAGTGCAAGACCATGCATCCACCAACCAACCCCAACCCACCACCTATCGAGTCGCAGCGCATCTAATGCGCAAGCCGCAGCCCCCTTCTTCGAGAGAGCTTTCGGATGGTTGTGGGGCGATTTGGGAGCCTCCCAGGCGGCTTCGGACGCCCAGAAGACCGCCGTCTTGGCCCGATTTGGGGTCCGAGGCCGTGGCTTCTGGGCCCCGATTTCCTTCCCCAGGCCCCTGGGAAACTGGGACACAGCCCCCTTCTTCGAGAGAGCTGTGAAGCGACTTGACAATCTGGACAAGATGGTTGTCGCCCAAAAACTGCCCGTGGCCGCCCGCCGAGGTGGCGACCAGGATTTTTTATGCTCGCCCGAGGCTCTGCTGCCCTGGCTGTATCCTTGCTCGCTCGGCGAGTTCGAGCAAAAACACTATTATATGTAGAGATGCTTTGCCCCCCCCCCCTGACGCTGTGGCACGGATGCCGAGCAGACTGTGCAGTCCCGTGCTGTCAGTGGCCGCCCGCCGAGGTGGCGCCCCCCGCGCATGCGCCTGAGCTTCCGGTCCGCGACCGGGCTGCTGGTCTCGGCCGCGGCCTGCGGCCTGCTGGCCGTGTACAGGCCTGGCGAGGGGGGGGCGGTTGCGGGGCACGGGGAGGACGAGGAGGACGAGGAGGAGGAGGAGGACGAGGAGGAGGAGGAGGAGGAGGAGGAGGAGGAGGAGGAGGAGGACGAGGAGGACGAGGAGGAGGACGAGGAGGACGAGGAGGACGAGGAGGAGGACAAGGAGGACGAGGAGGAGGACGGCCTGCCGGCCGTGTTCAGGCGGGCGGGGGCACGGGGAGAGTTGGCGGCGCGCACAAGGGGGTACACCCTAGGCGATGCTCAAGAAAACTGAAGTTTTCGGCCAGAGTCTCGATTATTCTGAACGTTCCAATGTAGATCCTAAGATTTCAGTAGGCATCTGGGTTCGTAATCAAGTTCTGAGACTATGCATTTCTTAACCCATGAAATCTCTAAGCATTTCGCAGGGTGTAGGGGAGGGGGGAAGGCTTCTCAGAAGCAGGGGTGCTTCTTAGAAGGCGCCGGCCTCACACCTACAGAGAAGGCCCGCACCTTCTAGGAAGCAGGGGTGCTTCTGAGAAGCCTTCCCCCCTCCCCCTACCCCCTTCTGCGCGTGGCCGGGAGAGGGGCGGGGGGGGGGGGGGGGCAGAGATCCAACGCATTGGAAACATCAGGACGGCGGTTCTTCGCAAATTTCGGGGGGGGGACAGGAGGTCCAACGCATGGGAAAAATCAGGATGGCGGTTCTTCGCAAGTGTCGGCCCCTGGGGGCCCTCGCCAGGCCTCGGGACCGTCAGAGAACGGCGCAGGATGAAACACCGGTCCTGGGGAAGGGGTCGAAGCTTCTGGGGACCCCGTGTTGGAAAAATCACGGCATCGGATCTCTGGGGAGGGGAGGGCGGGGGCGGGAGGGAGGGCGGCGGGCGGGTGGGAGGGGGGAGGGGCGGGGAGCGGGGAGGGGGCGCGGGGCGGGAGAGGGGGGAGGGGGGAGGAGGAGGAGGAGGAGGAGGAGGAGGAGGAGAGGAGGAGGAGGAGGAGGAGGAGGAGGAGGAGGAGGAGGAGGAGGAGGAGGAGGAGGAGGAGGAGGAGGAGGAGGAGGAGGAGGGGGAGGAGGGAGGAGGGAGGAGGGAGAGGGGGAGGAGGGAGGGAGGAGGAGGAGGGAGGAGGGAGGAGGAGGGAGGAGGGAGGGAGAGGAGGGGAGGGAGGGAGGGAGGGAGGAGGGAGGGAGGGAGGGAGGGAGGGAGGGAGGGAGGGAGGGAGGGAGGGAGGGAGGGAGGGAGGGAGGGAGGAGGGAGGAGGGAGGAGGAGGAGGAGGAGGAGGAGGAGGAGGAGAGGAGGAGGCGGAGGAGGAGGAGGAGGAGGAGGAGGAGGGGGAGGGGGGGGAGGGGGAGGGGGAGAGGGGGCGCGGGGCGGGAGAGGGGGGAGGGGCGAGGGCTGCACTCGCACGCAGGGGCTGCAGCGCTCGGCGTGTGGCCTGCTGGGGTGTTGGAGAGCAGGTGCGGGCATGCGTTTGGGGGGGGGGCGGTGGCGTCCTCCTCCTCCTGCTCCTCCTGCTCCTCCTCCTCCGCCCTCCTCCTCTTGCTCCTCCTGCTCCTCCTCCTCCTCCTCCTCCTCCTCCTCCGAAAGCAGACCCGATGTAGGCCTGGGCGGTTTTGGTGTTTTTTCTAGAAGAAGCAAGGCGCCGACAAAATCTGCTCGTGAACAGTCGCAGCCTGCGCCTTCTGCACATGGGCGGACTGCGGAGAAGCAAGGCGCCGACAAAACTGCACGCGAGAGGTCGCAGCCTGCGCCTTCTGCACATGGGCGGGCTGCGCGCTCTGATTTGGCGACTTAATGCATGCAGCCTCTCTCCCTGCGAACAGACTGGCCAAACTCCTGGAGCAGGTCGTTGCCTGACCTCCGCATGCGCCACACCCAAGCCCACAAGTACGAGCGGCAACGCTCCCAGTCTGAAGTGTGGACGCTGTCTGGGATGCTGTCGCGCATCTCAGGCCAGAGGCCATCGCAACACTGCGTGCCTTTTTTCAAATGAAGAGTCTCGGTGCGCCCGTTCGGGCGCACGACGCGCACGCGGTCGACGACGGCCCACTGTTCTGCATCGTGAGAAACTATGCCGTGCGATAGCTTCAGATGCTTATAATGCAGCTTGAAGCGGTCAGCATTGAAACGAGGAGGGTCTTTGCTCTTGTCGCTGTAAGCAGCACGGCTTTTCGGTGCTACGGACTGGTACGCGCCCGCGCCATCCGTCAAAAGCGTGAAATTGCCAGGCACGAGAACCCAAGAGAGGATCTCGTCGCACTCGGGCCCACTGAGTGAAACGCCGCTTCCCCCAGCGGCGCAGGTCCGCTGGGGCAGCTCGAAAAACATCGCCAGTTGGCGCTGTCCCCGAGGACACACGCACATGAATCGGTGATGTAATATGCGGTAACGCCCAAAAGGGTGCTCGCCGCACGTCGTATCACAACAATCTCGCGGGCAAGTCACGCGGCAAGCGCGCATTGACGCCTCGTCGGCCTCAACGAGGCACCCGCGAGGCCACACAAAGTCGTCCTGCTCAGCCTTGGCAACGCGGGCGCAGATGGACCGCACGACACTAGTGATGCGCTGGGCTGCATTCTTCGATATCCCCACCTGCACAGCCATTTCGTCCGACGACTCGTAGCCCGAGGCATGCTGGGTTGCTGCATGGGCGATGGCGAGGAGGGTGCGGGTGGTGTTCACGGAGCCCTTGTTGAACAACTCCTTCAGAGGGCCCTTCGGGTCGAGGTTCGACTCGCGCCTCTTGATGGGCGAACAACGCACGCCCATGCCCGTACAACGCGCACCCATGGGCTCCCCCTCCCCACCCTCCGTCTATCCCGTGGGTATGGGCGTGCTTTGTTCGCTCATCGCCTCTGGCAATCCCAATTGGAACAGCGCCAAATCGGATAATCCATTTGAGGTATGCTGAAGCCCGCCACCTGGATGTCCTTGTCCGACTGGCCGCCCCGAAGCTTCAACTCCATTGTGCCGCACTGGCACGCCGTGCACTCGCCCCCCAGATCTGGTAGCACCCCGATCTCTATCATGATACGCGCGAGGAGCTCGGGACTGATGCGCGCCATGTCGACCACGGCGATCCTCTTGGATATAGGTAGCGCGGCGAGAGAAGGGCGATCAGCTTGTTTCTGATTCGGAGGAATGTAGGATGGACCAGGAGCCTCTTTTTTAGTTGCCGCCCTACCCTTCTTCATCATCGACTTCTTGCTGATGCGGCTCCCCTTCGTCAACGACACCCTGCGAATGCCAGACAACTTCTTAGAATGGAGAGTCGCGCAAGCGGGCTTCCGTTTCAACGAAGCCTGCTGCACGCGGTGCGCACGCTTGTGCTTGTCCGCCTGGGAGGCCTTGCCACCATGAGGCATGATTGACGAGGCGAACGGCAATGGGAGTGGCGAGGCTGCAATCCAAAGCCAAAGTTTGAACCAAAGTGCTACGGACCGAACACCATGATCGGCAAACACATGGACTACAATTGCGACCGCGCGCAGTCGCAACTTTGACCGCGGCAAAAGTAAACAAGCGTTGTTGGCCTTTTTTTCAGTAGAGCATGGCCATCGCAACGCCCTGCCCCGTTCACAGGCGCTGCCCCCCGTCCCCGATATGCACAAATTAGGTCTCGTGTGTCCCCGACGGCGCCTGCACGGTTGCGCCTCGCTGGGGGCGAGGGTCGGGGAATCATCATGCGCACTGCTGCATCGTGCGCATCGCCATCACGGCGGAGGCGGCGAAGGCGCAGCGCTGGCGCCGCCTACTGCCTACTCAGGCACCCCGAACCTGCCACCAATTGCATTCCTCGGCACGCACGCCCTCAGGCATGATATGCCACGAGACGTGGCCCGTGTGGCAGGCGCGCACATCACCGTCGAACACGATGAATCCTCCGAGGAAGACGAGAACGGCCACGGCGTGCCCCGTCACCCCAGGCGCAGAGCCGTACGTTGCGATGTAGCGGCCTGTGGGCACGGCGCAAGCTCCGCGGATGGACGCACGGGCGATCACGCACCCGTCTCCAGCGATCATGGCCTCGGCATCGTTGATGCTGAACGGCCCATCCTGGGTGTACGGAACGTTGAATCCGAGGGCGTTCAGGGCGTCGACCATGCAACAGTTCTTGAAACCTGCACCGAAGAGGCCGTCGCCCGTGCCATGGGGCGCCTCTTCGTCGCTGTCATCGATGATCAGCGGCGGGCCGCCCGAGGGCGCCAGTTTGGCGAAGACGCCTGGCTCCAACTTGACGGGGCGAAGATTACCGCTGTCCGAGGCCGCCCCTGGTCGCGCGGGGGCGGGCATGCCCGCCTCCGCTTCCGCTTGCTCTGACATGATCCCCAACGCTGCCGCGGCCTCCTCGTCGGCATCGGCGGCATCGAACACGGCGCGCGCGCGCCGCGCCGATGGTGAGTCCTCGCTGGAAGCGCCGTCCAGGTCGATGTCTCGAGGACAAGACGCAAAAAGCTTATTGAAGCTCTTCGCGGCCTTCTTGGGTGGGCTCAAGAGGTCGATGCTCTCGCGGTCGTGCGCCCTCGCCAAACCGCCCAGGTACTTGGCCATCTCGCGGTCCCTGTCGACCTTGTCCTGTGAGTCCACTGGGCAGCCGCCGCGCGGAAGGGCCGCGCGCGGCGGCGCATCTGTGCTCTCGCCCATCAGAGGGGGAGGGGCCGCGCGCGTCGGCGCCTCCGCTCCCTCGCCCATCGGAGGGTAGAAGAAGCGGTCTGGCGCCTGGGCGTCGAACAGCGTAGGGCCTCGCACTGTGACGGCTGGCTGCACTGCCTCGCCTCTTGCAAGCCTCCGCATGAATGCCTGGCCCCACTTGAAGTCGATCTCGAAGTTAGGCGGCTTGTACGTCTGGTCCTTCTTGTACTTCTTCATGGTGTCTCTGCTTTCGGGCACGAACAGGTCGGGCTGGGCTGGGTTCGGCCAGGCAAAAAACGGCACCGACTCCTTGTCCGTGGAAGCCAGGCGGAAGTAAATGCGCTTGTCCGACAGGAGGACAACGTGGCTCCTCGCGAGGTACGCCT